TGACCATCAGGGAGAACCTCCATGTTGTGACCATTTGGGCGGCTGTGATGTTTCGGGGGGCTGTCAGTTCAGCTTCCATTCACCGAGGTCTTTACCCCTTTTTTCATGGCCTGCTGAGTAGGTCCTGTGAGGTTTCGCCGGTCCGAGCTTCTCCAATGTCTTCGTCAAATTGATTGAGGATCTTTTCGGGGGGCTCAAAGAGAAGGGGCGGAAGATGTTCGAAGTGGGTAAAGGTGTTTGGAGGTTCGAAGCATCGGCGAAGGACCTATTCTGCGGGGAGAGTACGTGGCCAGGGAGGAGTAGCAAGAAGCTACTAGTAACAAGGGCATCACAAGTAGTAGCAGGACGCTAGTAGTAGCAAAGGGCATTACTACTAGTAGTAGCAAGAAGCTCCTAGTACCCTTCGTTCAACGATTGCGTGGTCTGGATCCAGTGACCATAGACACGGCCCACCGGTGTCCAGGTCAAAAGGCCTCGGGCCTAAGGATGACTGTACAACATTGTACAACTAAGATCTTCCATGCAAAGCAAACATCACCTACATGAAAACCACCCCAAACCACCAGTGACTGACCAAAGGGTGGCACATTGCGCCACCGTTTGGATCGTTTGGGAAACATGCCGGGCCTGAAAGAAAGCAGCAGAATTGAAGCATGTTCAAACAACGGGCCTATGCCGTTCCGTTCCATGCCATGACCGTTCATGACCTTTCATATGAATCTGTGTTTGTGTTACAACATTAATGCCAATTCCTGGTGCCAAGCAAAATAGATTTGACATCAAGTGCCTCGATCTTTCAAAGCAACAGCCGCGGCTTGTGAGGTATAAAACTGTGAGGCTTGTTTGGGACCATGAAGGCAGGTTCACGGCCAGAGCGTGAAAGGGCCGTCCAACTGGAGGTCATTGAGTGTCCATCTTTGCTGAAGGCCATCGCTCTTAAATGTTATTAGGATGGAGATGACAGATGATGATGATGATGATGATGATCCTCATTTTTGGGAGCTGGGGCAGGACAGGTGTTCTCATGCACATCTGCTACAGTTCCCTCCACAGTGCCCCAGCAGTTGGGAGCTGGGTGACAGCGGCCGAGGTCATAGTCGTCTTTGTATGTTGGGAGCTGGCTGAAAAAGGATGGTCAGAAGTGGAACAGTTTCAGAAGTGGTAGATTTGGATAGATTTGGAGTGGTCGTGTCATGTGTCTCCAAATGCACTGAGGTTCTAAACACCCATGAGTTGTTTAAAGGAACATGTGTCATTTGTGGAAGTGTGCTTCAAGGCTCACTATTACACTGATTAGCTGAGGTCGATTCAATGTCTTGAGTCTTGAGTAGTGTAGGTTTCCCGGATTCTGAACATGATTCACGATCCCAAGATCTAACAAACCGGTTCTTGATCGAACTCAACGTACAGTAGTAAATCAAAAAACATGTCATCCCTGGGTTGTTTGGTGATCCAGAACCTATAAATAAGAGATAGAATCCGCAAATCAACGACACGACTTTGCAACGCAAGGGGAGCGGTCGGGACTGTTTTTGTTTGATGTTTTTTGCCTTTGGGTCACTGAGCCTCAGGACTTTTGCTGATCAGGGATTCGAAAGAACTTTAGTGGTTTTCGCCTAGTAAGACGCCGAACTCGTGGATCTCTGTAATACCCATATTCCAATATCCCTTCCATGATTTGGCAGTGCCGCCAATCCGACCAGAAACTCCGCAATCCCACCCCAAACTCGAGCCTTTACAGACAGCAAGTCCCTCAACTCGAGCCACGCCTTGGCAAAACCGCCAGGGGGTCCATCTTTTTGTCCGTCTCATAGTGCCAGGTGAAGCGAAGCCATTGAACAGCAACAAGGCGATGGGGATTCTGGGTGGTAGGGACCAGGGAGGCCCTTGGTACAATCGGTTGAACACCAAGTCACCGTCAACCGTCTCCAACCGAATCACTTGAATAGCAATGGCCTCCACCCTAGTAGCGATGGCCTCCAACCTAGTAGCGATGGTTGACCAGATTTTTCAACCTTTACTTGGGATGATTGAACCGGCTGACTCGTATGATAGTCATTCGTGACCAGGATTGGTCGAGAGTGCTCCATGACACGCTCATGATAGATGGACGTTTGTCGAATTGGGTTTCGAATCCAGTCTAAGCACGCAGAACATCCAAAGATTCACCAACACTTGCTGGTTAACAAGAAAACATGGGATTTCCCAACGGTCCATGTAAAGCAAGTATGACCTACCTTCACCACTCAAAACCACCAGGACTGCGCCACCATGGATCGCTTATGAAAGGAAACATAGGAAGCGCTTCAGGACGAGTCTTACAGAAATGGTCAAAGATCATGTTCAAATCACTACCTGGACCCGACATCGTTCGTACCATAGAAAATGGGACATGACCCCAAAAGCAGGTACGGCTATAACCCTTTCAGAAGTGCGAACGGGTCGACTCCAGGTAGAAGGCCGCCTGGCGGCCTTGGATCACGAAGCTGGTTCCCATTTGTTCAGCGTAAGTTGTGCAGGCGCGCCATAGGCTGGCGACTTTACAAGATGTTGCCGTGAAACACGAGGCCGTGCAACGTGTGTGCAATTGGATTGCAGGCGATTGCAGTTCAAAGAGGATCGATCATCGTCTCAAATGATCTTTAAATGGATACGGACATGTCGACTTCCACCCATATTTTGGAGCCTGTCTATGTACGTATGGTCGTTCAGAAACACAAAAAAAAGGAAACAGGTCCGACTGGCCTCGAACGTCGAACGGACGTCCACCTCTCATCTCGCCCGTGATCTCTCTTCGTTGGTCAGGCGGAGAAGCTTCAAAACGACGAGATCACGGTCTCCAACACGCGACCCAGTTCTGAAGAATCGTTTTTTTAGGGCGGTGAGTCTAGCAGAGGGTCTAGCTTAGCAGCGGAGGGGGGTCTAGCTATCAACGCCACTCTTCATTCTGGCAGCTTCTTCGGATAGCTTCAAGACAGTCTTCAAGATATTTGACCGATGGTCCGGGATGATCCTTGATCAGTCCTCACTACGCTCATCGATCAAGTTCGATCGGATCATCGGAGTGTGGATCCTTGGGGAGAGGCAGTTCCATCCTCACCTTCGCAGGGCTTTTCTCACCTTCTCCACCTCGAAAGCCGGGGGTTTCAAACCGGGAAAATCCCCCGGCTAGCAAAGCCGTTTTTGGAAGGACGCGAAGCGTTCTGGAGGGCGAAACTGGCCTTACTACGAATGGAACAGGCTAGGCCGCTAGGAACTTCTAGCTACTGTAGGAGCTTTTCCACCGTTTTGGAGGTTGGACACCGGGCCCAGATTCTTCGGGAAGAACAACGCACTTCTCATCGTTCGAAGTGGCCCTAAAATTGGAGCGTAGACGGCATCCGCCCGGCGCCGCCCCCGGGCCCATGGCCCGGGCGACCATGGAGAAACGATGACGCCATGAGCACGGTAGTCATGACATTTGAGCTATGGCGTGTTTTTTTTCTCAACGTGAGGAACAAACAACACATAACATTGCGAAGGAATTTGGAGGTTTCTACACTTACCGGCTACTTTTTTGGCCCCATTCGGTCGGCCGTCGTGAAGCTTTTGCCTCTCAGGTGAAGCAGCTGAGTTCGAGCAATTCACAAGACGACTGCGTGCCAGATTGCCAGACTGGTATGGGGCTTGCCTCGCCTCGCCACAGAACCAAACCGCATCCTCCACGTCCGGTCTTGTTCTTGCAACAACGCCCCTGTTGATCATTGGACGATCTTCGAGAACTCGTTCACAGTGATTTTCGACTTATGAGTGAGTTTCTTTCAGGTGTGTTCTTCCTTCCAAAAAGGGATTGCTTGGCAGATGATGATCTCCTATACTGGAGAGCATCCTCAAACTTTGAGAACATTTTCCAGGACGCATGGCTTTGTTGCAAGGCGTGGACATGGTTTGACCCATACCAACATCGCGGGCAGGGGCGGTCATTTCGCCCGCAATCAAGCACAGCCAGCTGTGCGCGCGCGGATTGGTCGATCCCTGCATTTTGGACGTTCCAAATCTCCTGCGCCGGATGAGATGAAACAGGAGCTTTTGCAATGAGCAACATGCAATGAGTCATGAGTCCATCAAAAAGCGATATGATTGAATGGTCATTGCTTTCACCCCGCGCGGGTCCTCAGACAGAGGTTCTTATGACTTTCACAACCTACCGCCGGAGCGCGGTCCTCAGACAGAGGTGAGTCTCACTTGATAGTAAGGTTCAGGTGAGACAGCATTGTGGTTTGCAGAGAAAACAACGTCAGCACATAGCAGTTAGCAGCAGCAACAACAACAGCAAGCATCACCAAGAACACACATGGGACTATTGGCACACCTTGAGGATACCAACCTTTTTCACAGGGCTTTCAGGTTTGCTTTCTGACATCAAACCAGTAGTATGCCAACGGAAAGCAAGATCTAGACTCTGGATGACTCTGGATATTTGGTGGGTTGACTTAGCTTATGGTTGACTTAGCTTATATACACATCCATTGTTTTTGGCAAGAACACCGACGACCGACGATCCCAATTTTACCAAACACTGTCCTTGTGAAGTCACATGCTGCCATTGATCATTACTGTAAGATCCCCATGAAAGGGATGGCCTTGGTTTTGCTTGAAGAGAGAACTCCTCGTTTGGCACGAACGAAAACTTCCATGGACTTGGGGCATATCTCGATGTGTTTTGTGTGTGTTTACGTATGATTTTCAGGCGAGGGTGACATCGTTCTCACGACCTGGCGAATCAGGAGAGTGTCATCCACCCAACTCAGAAAGGATTCGAGCCACATCTTGTTTACTTCATCATGTACCATATCAGTGGAGATTCATCTTTTTCTTCCCCTCAACGCAGCTTGCTGCACCATTCATGAAACATCCACTGGGTGCCCAGAAAGGCCCTGAAAGCTCCCCAAGTCACCCACCCTCCTCGCTGACCTGGACCCATCCTCTTGGGGCGACCTCGATCCACTGTGCCCTGCCAGGCGCCTCTATGGACCCCGGCTTGCGGCGATGAGCAGCACCTGTGCCTCGGTGAAGCTGCGTGGGCGAACGAGCGCCACACGGCTGCGTCTCCACGCGGAGGCGCCGGGAGTTGCGTGGAGAATGTGTCGGGACCATTGATGATGTCAAGACAAAGAATGTTGGATTTGTGATGAAATTTGCTGTGTGGCTGCTTTGTTGTCCTAATATGTCCGACTTGGAAATGATGCGACACATCCTCCATCTTCCAATCTCTGTCCACATTTTGAAGAGCTTCAGTCGTTTTTCTGAGGTTTGCGTACGCCACGCCATCGGCTGAGTTGGAGAGTTGGGATCACCGACCTGGAATGAGAATGCTTTTTGGGTCAAGTGTATTATGTTTTGTGATACCCTAGCGATCCAGTCGTACCTTCTCAGGTACGGTGATTGGAGACTATTTATGTAGGCGCCAAGGAGGGCCCAAGTACCTTCTGAGAAGGTAAGTGGATCCCTATAGATATTTCTTATTAGACACATTGTGTTTTTTTGGGGGAGGTCGGAGATGCTCGGAACTGGAGCCTGACGGCTCCATACATCATTAACAAAGTCCCGTGTTCAAACTTATGGGCCAACGTGGATGGCATGGCCCCGGTTTCCGATGACCATGTTCCTAATACCAAATAGGTGAACACTTCCCTGGTTCAAGGGAGTGTATGCCAATGGTTCAGAGTGTTTGACTCTTTGTTTTCTTCTTTGAATCCTCCCAATGACTCTCAGCCCACAAGGCTGGCTCAGTGGTTTTGGGGACACCGTCCATGGGCCTGACCTCCCCACCGGCGCCCTTGGACCCGGCGCCCGCGCCCGACAGGTGACGAGTCCGGAGTCGATGGCAGTCGACCTGGAGGTCTTGAAGCGAACTGCTGGGCACCTTGGATCGACGTCTCCTGCGGATCGGGGAAGTCGACTGTCGAGGCGTCTTTTTGATGTTTTGGGCGTTTTTTACAACGACATCAACTGGCGGTCATAAGCTGAAAAAAACACAAGGGATGGTGTAAAAGGGGCAGGTTGGGGCGATATTCATGACCAAGCTAGTAGAACCATGTTTCAGATTGTTTCAGTCGAAAAATCAACGGTGCTAATTGACTGACTGGCAGAAAGCGCAGCACAATGAACGGGACTCTGGACTGCAGCAGGTTGCTGTTTTCAGGAAGGTGATTAGGGGACACATGATATGATGAAGGCCATCTCTTCTAGGTTGGAGGGCATCGCTTCTAGGTTGGAGGCCATCGTTTCTAGGTTGGAGGGTAGAGCAGCCTTGAAAACATGGTGTTTAGATGTGTTTAGCTTTTGGACGTGTTTGGACGCTTTGGAAAGTGGCTCCCCTCATCCTTCAAAGATTGAAATCTCAAAAGGTCACGAACGCAGCCAAGACTGGATTGGTTGGGCTTTGTGACCTCTGTTGGAGCAACTAGCTGCTCAAGGCCTCAACTGTATATGTCCCATGCTTCGCATACAGTGTGATACAGTAGGCCCCAGACACTCCCAAGCTCATGGAAGATATATACCATACTAGTACTGCATTGACCCCCCAATCTTCGGTAGTTCTCTTCCAATCTCATACCTAGCACTTCCAATGGGTGCCCTGTTTGGAGGCCTGGAAGTAAGGTAGGCTAGTCTATTGGATACCCAGACAGGATGACCCTGGTATTGAGTGTTTGGGTTGCACAACATGAAGGCATGACCCGGCCGGTGACAGCGGATGAAGCCTTTGTGGGTCGCGATGCCGGATGGCTGAAAAAGAAGCAAAACAGACACAATAAGAGGACAATAACAAGCAAAAACAAAACAGCGTACTGGGTACTGTGTTCATTGTTATTCTATTATTTGTTTGGCATTAAATACATGACTATGTTGTTTCTGCAAGACGTGGGTTCTTGAACGTCAAGTTGGGGCAACACCGAATCCTGAGAGATGAACCGAGTTGAAACAAGCACATGCACACCAAACTGCCTCCATGAAAGCTGGAAAAGGAAGACCACTGTGGTCTTCCTTTTCCAGCTTTTATGGAGGCAGTGGTGCCTCTTTTCAACTCTTAAAGGACCTCCGGATCCATCGAGATCGCCTCGACGCTGAGTCCCTTGGAGTATGAGCTCTACCTGGATGGTCGTTTCTTCCAGCGCCACGTGGCCGGTGACGCAGCCGGTGCGGCCGCCGAGAACGCGCACGTGGTCGAATTCCAGCTACCGCAGCTGTGCTGAGGCGACGAGTCGCGTGAGGCGGTGCTTGGGTGAGGGTCTGGGTACGGCTTATGACATGACTTGTGTAGCTCTGTGCGAGTATTTAAACAATACTGTATATTACTGTATACACATCACACACATGATGGATTTGATAGACCATAGACCCAAATCCCCGATCATCGTAAGTCCATCCCAAACAAAACCATCAGTTGTCTATATATCCCAGACACTCCATGTACGCCATATATGCCTACATTGGGGTGGTTTTTGGGGCCAATGTAGGCATTTATGGCATACATGGAGTGGGTATGGACGATAAGTCTCCCTGATCTTGCAGAATTTGGAAGAGAGCTCTCCTGCTTTTGAGGTTGATCACACCAGAGGTCCGATGAACACCAAATTGTTTGCACATCTTCAAAGAAACTGGCAGGTTCTTATTGGGGGATTGTCCATCATTCTCAGAAGGAGACCAACGAATGGATGGGGATCTTCCGTTTTGGTTGATCTAGTTCGTTGTGTATCTGAGAGATCGCTTGGCGCCCCAACTTTGTTCTTCGACCGCAAGTGGCAAGTCGACAAGTGGCTCGGCAGGAGAACCACAAGCAATCCGGTTTTTCAAAGCGCAGGTCCCATCATTTGCACCGGTCACTTTCTGGTTTATGTTTACTAATTTAAAGAACAGATTTGTGTGTTTTTCATTACACACATACAACATATGAATCAATATCAGTATCATACCTTTTTTTGTGTTCGAACTTCTCATGGTCCATCAGCCCGAGGCATGGAGAGAAGCTACTAGAGCTATGGTTGCCCTGCTCAGTGCCCCTGATGCTTGGTAGCACATCGGCCGACATCGAGCAGCAGTTCATAAAACCATAAACCAACACATCTGAAACAAAAAACGAGCTACCGCAAGGGGGGCGGATCAAATATTGACATATCAACCTACTTTCGACTTGCTGCGCCTGATTCGAAGCCTTTCGAGCTTAGCCTGCTCGACGTCGCACGTCGGGCGGACGAGACGCGTCGGGCGAGTTGAGGTCGGTGGAGTTCACCGGTGGAAGAGACCCGAGAGACGTCACCTGTGCTCTGGTTTTTGTGGACCTAAGGAAAAAGAGAATGGAACCTCATGGTTTCTTCTACAGGTTTTTGAGGTTCCATATGGTTTCATGTTTGTGTTTACCTTTTTTTTAAAGGATGTACTTGAAAGACTGGATGGCATCCACCCGTTTGGTATGCGGATTTCATTCATCTTAAGACTCAAGACCCGTTCTTTGTTGGCATAAGATACACTCCGGGGTAAACCAACATGGAAGTGGCAGAGGAAAATCCAATTGCTTGGTCTTCGGATGGAGTCATCATCGAATGCCATGGGACCGGTGCCACTTCCGATTTCCGGGCGCGTCGTTTCAGAAAAAATGCACGTTCTACAGCACTCCCTGAGCTCTTCTGTGCTCGGAGACGCCTCACTGCACAACACTGAGTTCCTGGAGTTTTTCTTTTTGTTTCCCGCTCCTGGTCAGGAGTCGGCACGCACACCTCTCCGCCATCCAAAAACCATGGTGTTTCTAATATTTTATTATAATATGTTTTAATACCTTTGGGCCACCTCTTGGAATACAAGTCCCCTGAAACACCGGATTCTTCTCATGGGTGGCATGGCCCCCTCAAGCCGCAAGCCTTTGATGACCAGTCATCCGAAGACCAGACATCAAGTATCATCAAGTCCTCAAGTCCATGATTCGGTTCTTTTATATCTCAAGTCATGTGTCGCGAATGCGTGCTCCGCAGCGCAGAGCAGCGGATTTGTGCCGGATTTGGTTCGAAGAAATTGCCTGCACGGCTTGTTCGTGCTACCCCCGCGCAGTCAGGACCCTGCTCTCCTTAGAGACTGATGGGCCCTCCGTCTCGCCGGTGGGTTGCTTGGCAGACGAATAAGCGGTGCCAGGCACCGTGACATTGGAAGTATACTTCGATCAATTGCCCGGACCTCTTTGGTGGATCGATTTAACAAGCAACAATGTGCATCGCTATAATACTAGTAGCTTCTTGCTACAGATATAATTATATAATGCCCTTGTTTCGAACGTAGCGACGCACTTGCTACTAGTAGCAAGGGCATTAGGCTTGCGTTAGCCCCCCCAAAACATACTCATGAGTACTTGTTCGCCTCCGTGAAAGCCTTCGCATGGCTTTCCCGAACTGGGAGGATGGTCCTCCGACCGCCACTCTGAGGAAATTGGAATGCCGCCCAATTTGACCGGTGAACTACTGAATTAATATGCCAGCTTCTTCAGTTCGTGACCTTTTGAAGGTTCCTAAGTGACCCTTAGGAGGCTTAAGTGACCTCAAACCAAGTTAAAAAAAGGCCACTTTGAAGAACTTGGTGAGGTAAATATTCCAATCTCATGGAGTTTTGGGGATTTTGATGGGGAAGTGAATTTCCTCGATAAAATGGGGGGCGTCATCTACCTCATTATATAGTGGTTTGGAGCTTGTTGACAAAGCCTTTTAGGTTTTGAGCATTTTTGAGCACTTGAACATGTACAGACTAGTTTGAATGCTGAGTTGGGCAAGTTGAAGGTAGATTTTTGTGCTGATTGATTGTTGTTTTGGAGGGCTTATTTTTCTGTTATATAGTATGTGATTTTTTTAGGTCCTTCTTGATGCTAACATACAGGATATTATAGGTATCTCGAATGACGTTGTTTACCTCGAAATATAGAAACCTAAAAATCAACATGCATCAAATTATATACGATGAGTGGTTGGCAAAATCAAGTTATATCTATAAAATGGGGTCAAGGACCCCCTGGCTGAATTCACACAGACATGGATTTTGGGACCATAATGCCGGAGACCATCTGGTGTTGATCGGATGATGTTCGGACCTTTTTCCCGAAAAACTGTGTGAATCCCCTCGCATGCAGAAGATATAATAACATCCCGGTTCCTTACGCAAATCCAAGACAACACAACTGGAATGAGGGTCTCAAATCCCGGTTTTAAGGAACCAAGCCATATTTTCTACACAACAGGCAGGTCCATGTCTCTCGGGCAAAAACCTATTGAATCATATTGAATCCATGTGCAACGAGAGTGTACATATAGTCGTAGATCAGTAGTGATTGTTGACTTGGAGGTGATTTCAGCTTAGCAAGTGGCTCATTGAGTGGCTAATTGTTCAAGGTGTGTTCATGTATTTGCAAGCCCCAGACCCCTACGTATGAGGGTCCGATCCCTCCATATGAAGATCCAACAGCGTTTGGCAAAGTTTTGTCCTTCAACATGGAGCATTATAGACCACAATCGACTGCGTCACATCTCTTCGGGCAAAAACGTTTGTATCCGTTTGTTGATGAATCTATCCCCTTGAAAAGAGGTGTAGCTGCCGCTGTGGTTTTGCGACCTCTGCTGACAAAAGCCAAACGTTTTTGCTTGTCATCCTTTCACCATCTCCTGAACCAAAACTCTTCCAGAATCAGACACCCTATAGGGTATCAAAATCAGTGCTGATTTATACATGTGTTTTTTAATTAGACTCTGGGGGGATCAACAATGTAAGGACACAATTTGGTGCGCTGAGAGTGGGTGAATTGGTGTACACAGATCCTATAATATTTTTGACATTGTTTTTTGCTTTGTCTAGGCTGGGTGCTGTGATGTTGTGGACACATAGGAAAGGTGTCTCGATTTTGTAACACTGGTGCTGGAAGCTCAAGCATGTCAATGACATTCAGTGACATCAGCCATATACTGAAACGTTCAGACACGTTTTAGATCTCAGGATATGTGTGAAACTTCACTTCAGGACGTCCTTTAAAAAGAGATAAACAAACAAGTTCAATCACTTTCAGTTTGGATGACACACGGGATGAAAAATCAACATGTTGTCAGCGCTGTTCAAGCGGGTGAAAATTGTTTTGCTTTGTAGACCCTGTGGTCTTGATATAGAGGGATGTGCAGGTTGGGCAGCAAGAACCTGTAAAGCTAAAATGCACATTTGTGCCCAGGGGTCTTGGATTTTGCTGCTTTCTCGAGATGGCTGAGTGATTGATTAAAGATTTGTGAGCATGATTTTCTACCACAGGCTGGGGGCCTTGGTTTTGTCATGTTTTGTCATCAGTCACCCCAGCAATAGGGCCGTTGGTTTATGGGGATATTTCATCCCTGATCTTGGAATGTGCAGTTGCTTGCCTTGCTGCCCCATACTGCAGATGATGATCGTCCGGTCTGGATTTGCTATGGCAGCTCCATCACACATGGAGGGCCCAGTGGATCTTCAGCTAGCAACAGGCAACGGCCTGCGTCCCTCTCATCGATCGGTAGCCGTTCATACATCGATAGATGCGAATCTCATTGGCAAGGTATAGATATCATGCGCATATCTCATCATGCTGATGGAAAAATGTGTGTGTGAGAGAGAGAAAGTCGTGGTTCGTCACGTTGGAAGCTCGTTGTTTTGACAGGTGCTGATCGATATGCATCACCATGCCAGTTATATATTTATATGCATTCAGGGTGGGAATTGTTATCACTGTTCACTTGGGATGCTGTTGTAAAGCCCTTGTGGCATGCGTGTTGCCCTGCGTTTGTGGCATTGTCCCTCTCACATTCAACATGAGCTGGAGCTTTGGAGTCCCAGTTTTGATGCTCATTCACTTTCACGCCCGCACGGCCTCCTGCCACAGTTGGCCAGCGCTGCTGGCGCGGGCAGCCCATTTCAAGCTCCTCAACCTGGGCTTCGGGGGCGCCGCTGGGCGGGTTTCACGAGCATCCCCGGTCGATCGGAGTTGCTTCTGGAACATTTGGAGCAGCGAACACGACGTGACCTCGCGACTTTGGAAGGTATGTTACCACGCAACAATTCACATAACTGACAATTGGTGGTTTGTTGTCAGTTGTGACAGTGGTTGACATCGGTGCTGGTAGCTCCTGAGCAGGCTTTTGGTGCCAGTAGCAGTTGTGTGGCAGGTGTGGTAATTCTCAGGGGTGGTCCTAATATGTCCTAATTATCCAGAGGGGTTGTTGTAAACTAAGACCCCCCAGGAATAATTGTCCCTGTGATGGTATGTTGGGGTGACAGGCTTGGGGTTAGTAGGGTTCGGGGAAATATGTATTTCATGCCCAATAGATCCCAGTGGCTCTTGAGCAGGCTTTTGGTGCCAATAGCAGGTGTGTGGGGGTATAAATATAGTCCTAATTATCCAGAGGGGTTGTTGTAAACTAAGATTCCCCCAGGAATACTTTTCCTTGTGGTTGTATGTTGGGCTGACAGGCTTGGGGTTAGTAGGGTTTGGGGATATATTTATTTCATTCCCAGAAGATCCCAGTGGCTCTTGAGCAGGCTTTTGGTGCCAGTAGATGTCAGATTGCTCTTGCTGTGTGAGCGCTGTGTTGATACTTTTTTTAATGAAGATGTAGAGAAAGCTGAACAAATATTCTTGTAACTCAACCAGTTACCAGAATAATATTTGGAAACCAACTCAAGGGGGGTCAGAATAATTTAGAAATATTCCTGGGGGCTTTCACAGGGGGGGCCCTTAAGCCATGACCTATTGGTTGACATCTACACAAACTGACAACTCATTAGAGATCTGACGTGATTACACGTGACTTCCATCTGTAGTCCAGGCGTACATACTACACTCCGACGAACACATTACATGCCAGCTTCTTCCAAGTGGTCTCTTTGGAGTCCCTAAGTGACGTACTACAGGTGGAAGTGAACATGGCGTTTGGGAAGATTCGGACCAGAACTCCACTTCCATGAAAAAGTGCTCGTTGGAGTGTATTCATAATCCAGAGCGGCTTCGGGATTTAATATAGGCTTTGCTTAAGATGTTTATTCTAATTGGTGAATTCCCTGGCATTGGACATATTGTTTTTTCTTTCACCCTTCGAGAGAGGATGAGGTTGAACAGGACGCTCGTTTTGAGATCCGGACGGGACGCTTTGCTTTTCAGACCACTGCGTCTTCTCTCCGTGCGTTGGAACCGTTTTTTTCCGGTGCGGGTTATTTTTGGCATGGAAACACCCAGGTTGGCCCGAACAGTTTGAATCAATCATGTCATCGTAGCCAGACCATCCGGACGGTCGTCCGATTGGTGAGTCGTCGTAACACTCACGCACGACGCGACCGGATCCTCCGGTTGAGGAGTGTTACCTGGACCCCGCCGTGGCCTTTGTGATTCGCGACGCTCCCTGTGAGCTCATCACTTTGGAGGCGTCGGACTGACCAGGTAGACCGGAGCATATATACGCCAGTGGTGACCGGTCAAGCAACAGGGCCGAACGACCCTGACAGGCATCGGCTTTTTGGTTCTTCCACTCCCTGGATCCACATACCCTTTGAAGATAAGGTGATTGGAGATACCTTTTTACCATCTGTCTATACCTTTTTTATCCTTGTTTCTGTTTGAAAAAGAGTCCAAGTACCTTCTGAGAAGGTGGCAGTGGATCCCTATCTAGACCGAACAAAACATCGATTGAGTAGATCCCCGCGTAGAAGATGGACACGGTGCCGTCATCTCTTTAGGGGACGGTTTTTCGGGAGCGAAAGCGATCGCATTGCGAAAGCGATCGCGAAGAGGAGAACCAAGCGATTTGCTGGCCAAACCATGTGATGAATGCTGACAAAGCCTCATGTTTGTATATGTTTGCTGGCAAAACCTCAAGAATTTGGCTCTGACTCTACAAGTTTCTCCACTTTTCTGCTCTTACAGGTAGCCACTGCAACGCAGCGAGTCACCGGCCAAAAAACAACTGTGATGGATGCATCAGTGAATGGGGCGGTCCCACTTCAGTCAATCCCAGACACGGCATAGTTGCTGATCAGTTCAAGTATTGTTTGAAGAAAGGTCCAGTCGTATTTCGGTCCATATATTCGATATGAGGTGGTCAATATGTATGTTGGTTTCTTGGGGTTTCATGGGTCGTGTTTGGGGCTTCAGTCATGCAGAACGAATGTCTCAGGTGGGGCGCGACGGGGCACCCGAGGAAGCCAACTTCCACTGACTCATGACTGGGACTCCTGGTAGTCCATGCACCAGCAGTTCGTGGTCGTCCATGAGTCATTTTCCATCGGAATCACTGGAGGGGAAGTTCATGGAAGTTCAATACGACCACTACCATCGGTAGGACCAGTCTGGATGGTGTCCTCACGTTGACTGCGATCCACTGACCACGGACCCACGGACCGCGACACGACCTCCCTGACGGTGCGACCGTCCTACCGAAGAAGGACCGAAGACGTGGCGAGTTCGACGTTTCGACCGAGCGACTGTTGACCGTGAATGGTTGTGACTGGTTGACCTGTTTTTATGAGAAAATGGGTCTGACTCTACATCCCTATAGGGATCCAGTCGTGCCTTCGAAACGAAGGTACGACCCGAGCCTCCAAACCTACATAAGAGTGTCGAACACATCACCTTCTTAGGGGGAAGACTGCCCGGTTGCCCGGTGGTCCCGAGAAAGGACCAATCCCCTTCTTAGAGGGCATTGTGAATCCCTAGGGCATGGGACCTTCTTTGAATGATCCCTGATCATGGAATGGGAACGACCTGGTTTTGTAGTGTACAAGGCCTTAAAGCCCTTGGTTGTTTGGGATTCAGACCCTGAAACCGATGGTTTCTTTTTTGGAATCCCAGGGCGGCGGAGGGTAAAACGAGGACTTCTTTGTTCACTAGTAAACCCCTCCGTTCTGGACTTCAACTATTCGCTCTTCAGGGACAGACGGCCACAAGGAAATGGAACCGCCTTTGGCCTCTGGTGTAAAGAAACAAGTCACTGAGGCATCCTTGTTGTGTTTGCCGATCCCTCGTCATTAGCTGAACTACCCTGACACTTCGCTCTTTTGCCTTGCGCAGGTCGGCATCAACATTCAAACAACGGCGGCCATGAACAAGCGGACCTTCCCTGCTGCCGTCTATGGCTTCATCCACATCATCCGCCCTTCGGCTCCACAGGGCGTTCGCTGCCGGGGGGCTTCTGCCGGACCCAACAGCTGAAGGTTCGGATGCCCCAGGTCAGTTGGAGCACCACGGAGTGGGCACCCACCATCGACATGCAGGGGATTCCTGGTTTGAATGGGATGCTGTAGCACATAGTAGAATTAAGGTTTTGATATGGTTTGACAAGTATACTATGTAACTATGACGACAAAAAATTATTATAGCTACATGTGAACTCTTGTGTATCGCATTGGCAACGCAGCCTTCAGCTGTTTTCTGTTGTTCAGATCAAGGATTTGGAAAATGTATGAACATGTTAGGAACGCAGCAACAACGCCGCAGGACGAACGCAAAGATTGCCAGTCCTAAGCTATACTGCCAGAAACGCACCAGTCTCAGTTCTTCCATGTTCTTTCTGCTAGACCTGGACCCCAAGCTGAGGTGAAAAGCACCGCACGGTGCCCATTGTGGTGATCTCACCCTTGCGCTACGAACCGCTGGAAGCACGCGCTCCAGCCACGGATGCAGCGTTTGATGGGATGGAGGTTTTGATGGGTTCATTTTTTCTCGCAAAAGTGGATTTGGAGGGGTTTGATGATACCAAAGGATTTTAGCTAGGATGTTGTGCTTTAAGCCTTTTCGATGGAGTCAGATCTCCAGGTCAGATTAACCAGAGAAGACTTCATCACGGGTCCGTGCTTGCTAATGACTGAAGAGACCAAGGGCTTCCCTTCTGACATCTTTTCACCATTTTGGATGATTGGTGTGACGCTATAGCCAGAGTGATATCCTGATTGGCACTATTCCACCTCTATCAAGATGTGTGTGTGATAGAAAGACCGAACTTGGCAGAGCTTATTTCCAGCATTCAGGGTGTCAAGTCGATTTCATGCGTGTCGTGTCCAATCTATACAGTTGCAGATGTTTCCAGTCTGAGGAGAACACAGTCATGCAATGCCAGACTAGTCAGCCGGGCGCAAAGACTTCATTCCCACCTTTCTCCGGAGATCGGAAAAAGACAACGCCTCGTTCGAGTTGGACGCAAACCTCTAGGACCGATGGTTTCGGCTCTTCAAATCGAATCGCGGCTCGGCTTGTCGGACGTCCATGTCCTTGGACGGTCACTTCGCCCCAGCACTCGAGAGTCCCGCGGGGTTCACTCGTCGTGCCGCGCTGAGGTTGGGACGTCAGAGTTCATGTCGTTGCAAGACCGGCTTCGTTCGGCGAGTTCCGCGGCCGGTCTTGGCGGGCAGTAAACTGCATCAGCAGAGAGACGATATTGGCTTTGCATCACACTTTGGACTGAAGTAGTCGCAAGAAGCTACTAGTAACAAGGGTATCGCTATTAGTAGCTAATTTGCTACTAGTTCAATGGACTTTCCAGGTGTTGGACATGTGTTGGACTTACCGCATGTTACCACCATTTGTATGTGATCCACCATATAGATAGAAACAGTTTCCAGTACGTTTAGTAGTGGGGATCAATTTTTCTATCTATTTGGGGGTCTATTTATTGAGCCAGCATGAAATGCATGTTCAAGTCGAATCGAGAAGCCTGGTGTTACACGTCACTCTGGAAGTGGATATAGGTCTCCTTTGCTGGAGGTGTTGGGTTGGTGTTCACCATGGTCCTTGCGGCGATTCCGATCATATCGTAGTATAGTGGGTATAGGCGCCTTTGGCAGGTCAAGCTGGGCGAGGTTCCTTGTGTTGTTCCCAGCCTTGGAACCTGTTGGACCACGGAATGCCCAACATTCCTGCATCAGTTTCCAGTCTGACTCTTGTAGCAGCTTCAAAACCATGTGGGCTAGCTGCTGTGCACTTGAGCAGGTTCCTTTGCAAATTGTAAACCCACAAGAACCCACACCAATGGTAGAAATCGCTGCTTTGCCTGCAAGAAGAGTTCAACTTAATGGCTGAACTTCTTCCACCGAAGCGAGCTGCAGAGGAGCTGCGAGCAAGCTTGTTCTCCTGCGTGGAGACCCTCATTGAGCTTGGTGATCAGCCGCTGAGCGAGGTCGGTCGCAGGTGGGAATGGTTTGTTCGACTCTGAGCGAGCCCGACGAAAAGGGTTTGTCGCCCAAACGACTTAGGAGAGCACCCGGCCACACTTCAAAATGGTGTCCAAAAGAGCCTACTCAAGAAAACAGACGCAAGCACTATGTTTCTTGATTTTTTCTCATGGGCAGCAAGCATATTTACATGTTCATTGAGACGCGGGCCACCACCAGACTACGGTGATTCCGCACGGCAGCGCTAGGTTGGCGCTAGCCAAGTACTAGGTTCTCTAATTGCAACTATGACCACAATTTGTTGGTAGGTGTGGTTTGTGTGTTGCCTTTGTGTGTTGCCAAAGGATTTTGGACAATGAACTTCTCTTCTTCGCCTCTTCTCCTTCTTGTCCTTTTCTCTTCCCTCACGCCCTCACTCATGCCCTCCGTCACTCCAACACTCACTCTAGACTAGCCGCGCGGACGACAGTCAACTTCGTGATCAGTGGTACAGGGCTCATCTAATTGTGATTATTGTTGGCCAAAAGATGTATGTCAGAGCTTACCCTGAAACATGCTGGTGACCTAAAACGGCCACAACTATCAAAGTAATGTTAACCTCTCAATAGTAACCCCCCTCGCCTATGAAAATAAATACGTGTCACTTTTTCGGGGTAGGTCAAAACTCTCAACCTCAAACAATATCCTGCAGGCCATTTGGTAGAGAGGATTTGGTAGAGGGCCAAGACAAAAGAAGAAGAAGAAGAAAAAGAAGAAGATAGGAGAACTTAAAGGTAAAGGGGAAAGCACAAGGCAAGGACAAGCCAGCAGGGCTGGAGGGAGGGTTTATTGTAGGTTGGTTTATAATTGCAGGGGGTGGGAGTCCAAAGGGGTGCCCTTTGAATATGTTTTGTATTTGCTTGATAGGGTTTGCATAAGGAAACCTAAAGCTTTTGGCTAGCCAAAGTTTTTGGAAATCTGATGGGCAAAGATTAAAAAAGATCATACAAAAGAAGACAAACACAAAATAATAAGAAAAATAACAAAATAGAGAAAGCATTCTGAAAGCATTTTTGGGGTCTGGATTATTTTTATCGCAATTAAAGGTCGTATTCCAACCTTCCTGGCCAAAAAGGTGGTTCAAAGGGACGTGCGCCAGTGGACGGAGACGGGTCGTCGGTGTTTGCGCAGGGTTCTGTGCGGTGCCATGATCAATTCATGAGAGCAGGAGCTGGGAACACTGAAGTGTGCATGTGGTTTAGTAAACTTCATGTAACAGAACGCATATATGCCCAAGTCACATTTGTTTGTGCATCCCTTTAAACAAAGCAGAAAACCCTCGTGGAAAGGAATCGAAGGAATGGCCTTTGAGACTTTATACCCCGAAGGGACAAGTCCATCTATCTCAGTACATGGAAGGGTTCTCTCTTAACTTATCACGTGCATTTTTTAAAGGGAACACCATGACGACGGACTGAAGGCTATTATTTAGCATCAAGGGATTCATGGCTAAGGAATATTTTCTACTGTGATGGCTTGGAGCTGCTACATGAGCCCGAGCTCTTCTTCGATGGGTCTGGAGACCAAGGCATTGACGGGTGGATAATCTGGCTTGGACGACCGCAAAGACAACAAGGGAAAGTCTGGAGGTCTTTGAGGGTCCGATGTCGGGTTTTTGATTCCTACTGATGTAGTGGATGAAGCCTAAGTTAAGTTGGTGCGGCCTAAGTTGGGTGAAGCGGTTTTCAGTTCGCGGTTTTCGGTTTCATGGTTTTCTCAGTTATCAGCTGGGAGTGAGCGTTTGTTCAGCAGTGAACTGCTTGGGGCGTTTGCACTTTTGGTTGGAAGCTCTTCAATCCAAGACTTGGACACATTTAATTAATCAGAGAGCGCTCAAGCACCCAAAGTGTAATTCGTGAATTGTTTGTTTTCCTTGACTTAGTAGTTCCCCTACTAATGTGTCTTCTTTCACACACACATATATACACATATATCATGATTAGGAGTTGGGACCAGCTGTGCATCCTCATGCTTTTGGTCTCATCCTTTGGCTTCAGAGGTGTTTTCCATACTACTAGTAAGGCACTTGTTTCTACGTTCGCTTCTTGTTACTACTAGTAAGGCACTTGTTACTAGCGTGGCACTGATCATACGTGAAACCCCAAATCCGCCCGTTGGTCCCTTCCGCAATTCGTTTCAAGACGTTGAGACACGATACCAAGACCCGATACCCTCGGCTTCGGCGTCTTCGGCCTAGGCTGCATCCTGGCCCCAGAGGCGGGCACGGACTGGTACGGAGCTGTGGTTCCTTTGGGTGGAGCTGTGAGAAAGCATGGCGTGCATTGCGGGTGGGTGGCGAGATCGGAGTACGAGCGAAATAGGCACGACCCAGGATCTGCAGGATCTGGATTGCTCACAGCATCTATGGATGTTTGGATTGAACAAAACCCATGCAATTCTCCGTTTTCTCGCCAGTGTGTCTACATCTATACCTTTAGCGTTAGTTTTTGTTTGCTTTTCCCGCACCGTACATCACCACCGGGAGAGTAATCTACATTTGCACGAGCATCTCTACTAGGTGGCGGTTTCAGATTTTGTTGTGTGTTTAACCTGTATTGGATGATTTGAACCCACTGACATGATATATATATATATATATAAACTATACATGTGTTTTTGTCCGGTAGTTGACACCACCAACCATGGTATTCCTTTCGGGTGCTTTCACCGTCTCGACATGAACCACCCAACTGCGGATTGAACACGCCCATCTCCAGCCCATCTCCAGACTCATGGAGATGGGTGCCAGCGGTCGTGTGAGTGATTCTCCTGTGAGGTCAAAGGAGGATCGTGGAGCGGCTTTGGCCCACGCTCCGGCCGCTCGTGGGTGCAGCTGGGCTACAACGGGAGGGAAGAGATGTGCAGCAGATACAAGGTGTCAAGGTGTTGATGATGATTCTGGATGGACTTTTGATGTTTCATGGCCTTGGCTGGTTGATTCATGGAGAGCATACCCTCTCATTGTGAACAATCAATGGGTTTTTCTATAGGGTACTTGGCACGGTACCTGGCAACGACCCCTCCATGAATTCAAAAAGAATATTCCAGGACCTTCCAAGGGGTGCCTATAAACAGCCTGTTAGGGGTGACTTGGAGTGTCCAAACACCACCTGTTGGAAGGTCCTGGTTGGTGTTGATTGCGCTCGCCATCCAGTTCTATATCCGGCAGGAGGGGAGAAACTCCAAGTTCGACTGACACAGTTCGAAACGAAACAACTGAAGGCGGGCGCCGGGGAATCAGAGACTGTCCGGGAAACGACTGATTGCCATGTGGGGGAATAAGGATGAAGAAATCACACAGAAACGAACATCAAACAGAAAAATGAGAGAACAACTTCATGAACCTTGAAGATCAGGTCACTCGTATGCGGACTCCAACTTCGGTCGACACTTTGGTCACTCTTCAACTCAACGTATGATAGTTTGACTCACCGTTTTTTGCTTCGACACTTAGGGACTCGTTGTGCGGATGAGAATTACTTGGATCACTAAGAGCTCCAGTTCAGGAAGTCGGACAGGCTGGAGGCCATCGCTTTTAGGTATTAGATGGTATTAGGGTGTTGCTATTGGGTTGGAGGCCATGGCTTTTAGGGTGGTGGCCATCGCTAACAGGCTGTGAGTTCTCAGGCGCATTGGCACCTAGCCATAGGCGACTTTCTTCAGTGCACATAGGCTAAGCAAGTATAAGCGTGCCATATCGTGGTCATCATTTCGACCTGTCGCGCGGTGCTTTTGTCAAAGCAGATAGCCTAGCCAGACACTGACATAGAGACTAACCCCAGTCCAGTTTGGGGGTGAGATCAGACACATAGCCTAGCCTGCCAGACACTGAACCTGAAACTCGGGACTCACCCCCAAAGAGGCAGACACTGGACGTTTGGACGTCGATGGGATCCGGCTCGGGTCCTTAGCTCAACCCAAGGCGAGCACCCAGGAGCACTTCGAGCTGCCCGAAGAGCTGCCCAGCGAGGCCAATGAGCTCACAGGTGCCACATGAGAAGCCTTGCGACTCAACTCGTGCTGGTGAATATGCGTGGGAAGAAACCCACAGGGAACCTGAAAAACATGGGTTTGTAAAGGAACATGGTCTTCCAAAGGTCCATTTTCAGGTTCCATATGTGGGTCTCTTCCCGGGCGTAACTCTGAGATCTGATTTGCTTTCAAGCGAGTGATTTGAGGGTTTGGTTTGTGATTGACGACATCCTTCGGTCATTTCCTAAAGTGAGCATACATGTCCAATTTCTTTGTTATGCAGTTCAGTGTTTTTTAATTCTCACTCTGCAGTGCAGGAACGCCGGCATTTCTCAAGGGGAAGAAGTATAAAAAGCGTTTCGCAGCCAATATGTGCTCAGGAGAGAGCGATTTGTAGCCGGGGGGTATCCATATTCTCCATTAAACAGAGAGCCCTTCGGAGCTACAGGGAGTTCCCTAACCCACTGTAAATTTGAAACGATCAAAACATGTTACAGAGTTTTTTGCAGGATGTGAACCCCAGCTATTCATCTAGTGTAGACTCTTGATGAAAAACACATTTGCATTGATAAATCTCTTCATACGGGGGGCGGGTTAAATAAAGGAAAGTCCACATTCTATGTACCTAGAACCTTGCAGCAGCATGACTCACGTCCTGTCGAGTAAGACTTCGAAGTGCACGATCTTCAACGGCGACTGGATGGACTTTTGATGTAGATGATGTGAGGTAGATGTAATGTAAAAGCCCAATAAGTCAAATGGGAGGGACTCATCAAAATAGATGACCTTTTCTTTATATGTTGTTCTCCCACCTTGAATAGTTTAAGTGGGTGGGAATCAAATAACGTTTTTTTCACCCAGGAGTCTTTTTGAGGATCTGTTATTATTTCTGTTGTTTTGCTATTGCTGCCCTTTAAGATCATTGCTTATCTCTTCTGAGGTTTGCTTCCTTCATGGAACTCTTACCTGAAAGCCCGCATGATTATATGTGTCTATATAGACCTACCCATCTTGACCCTCCATCGCCTCCCAAGTCCAAAGGACAGGTTAAACTGGTGCAGCGTAAAGGTGCAGTTCACCGTTCTTGTTGGAAAGACACATCCGGTGTTGCCGCACTCATTTTTCTGGGCAAAGCAAGTACATGGGGAAACGATTCCTGAAACGCCCATGGGGAAGCTTCCTTCGAACAAAAGCGTGTTACTAAGCTTGAAAGATCATGAAAGATCGATTCAAAGGAAACAAGAAGCTTCAAGCCCCAGAAACAAACAGCTTCAAGCCCACTCCAACACGACGCACCGACTCGGCGCCTTCCGCGCTTTTACCGGTGGTGTGTGGTGTATGACCGGTAGGGATCCCTTAAGGTTGTAACATGTGGTTGTAACATGTGAATAGGGTTTGAATATGATAGAATTTGAATGACACAAAACAAGATCATTTCAATCAATGTCGAGTTGGTCTGACTACATGATGAAGAATCACGGGCCGGACTTTTGTATCACGGGCCTCCATTTTTCTCCAGCTTTCGGAGTGCCTAACGGTGACCGAGAGGACTCGTTCCTTTGGACTGCCAGGCGCCTATGTGGTGGACATGCCAGGGGAGGGAAGGCACATGGGTTTGAAAAGTGGCTTCTAGAGATGTTGAAGGAGTTTGAAGGGGAGCGTAGGGCGGCCAGTTGGAGTGGCCAGGCAGTAGCTAGGCGTAGACGGGCGGTCGGGAGTGGCCAGGCAGTAGCTAGGCGTAGACGGGCGGGAGTGGCCAGATTTCGACCCCTGAGATGAATACCCCGAAATTCTGCCAACTTCCAAAGACCGAGTTCTTGAAACACTTCCTTGTCCCAGCATAGGTTGAAGAACCCTATAGACCAGCCCATAGTTATAGTTATCCTACTGGTAGGGTCCTAGTTCAGGTCACTGAAACACTTCCTGGGTCCCTACCTCGGACCTTTCGCCAACGGTGCTCCGCACAGATCTCGCATGGTGCTCCAGCTCCATCGGTCGCAGCTGGTGGCGCTCAGCGAGCGCCGCGACTGGCCTCCGGCTCCGCTGCAGCGACGTCCCTCGACGGAAGGGGAACGCCGTGCTGCCGAAGCTGTGCAGCACCAGAAACCCATGGAACCCGCCCGGACCGTGTGGTTTCCCCAGACCATCCATCCTACCGGGAATCTAGAACGATCTCGGTTCTTTTCGTCACTGTAAATTCGGTTCTGAATTATGGCTGAGCTGTGTATACCTGAACAGGTTGAGTGAGTTGAGCCAGCGATGCCATGCCAGACCAGTCCGCAGTGGGGCAAGAAAGTTGCAAGGAAGGTCACAAACAAGGGAGATTCTTTTCTTAGGAGCAATGTTCGCTACTAGGAAACAAAGGGCATCGCTACGAACGGAGCGATCGGACGCTACGAACGGGGGCTCCTGACCTTGCTATGAACGGAGCAAGAATGCTACGAACGGAACAAAGGTCCAGCAGTCACAAAGGGGTGCTTAATGGAGGTTAGGGGTGCCCACTATCCACTCACTTAGGGACTAAATACCACCCCTTTGTGACTGCTGGGTTAAGACACAATGTTTGAGCTTGTCGGAGCTGGAGAGAGCTCCACCCCTTGAGAAACCAACCCCAGAGGACGCGACAAGGCAAAACGGTCCTTCCCCACCTGTTGCCACCTTTTTCTCAAGACAAGGCAAAACTACGGGGTTCTGGCGCGAAGACTATCTGATTTCAATTGATTTCAAGATGGAAAAATCATTGACCTGACGACCTACGACATATTACTTATCGAGACCCGGACTGGAATAGTTGCGTCATTTTCGGGTAAATCTCTGCTCTCCCCTTGGTTTGAGAAGGTGTGATTCTTGGCTACGAGAAAGGCAGCGACGGCACACCTTGGGCGATTTGGCCCAGCGCAGCCTAGGGAGAAGTAGCTTCTTGTTACGTTCGTAGCGATGCCCTTGTTCCTAGTAACTTCTTGTTACTAGTAGCAATGGCCTCCAACCTTTTAATAGCGATGGCCTCCACCTGGTAGCTTTTTGTTCTTAGTAGTAATGCCGCCAAAGTACACTCTAGAGAGGCTTAGCTACTGGTAGCAAGGACGCTATTAGGTGGAGGCCATCGCTACTAGTAACAAGAAGCTACGAACGTAGCAAGAAGTACATTGACTCTTCATCCGAGAGGCGAGTCAGATTTGGATCATCCGGAGTGTCCTCCAGCGAGTTGGGTCCAGTTGATTGGATCCAGATGACCGAAAATGTGTTCAACTAAGAAGTGTGGCATGCCTTTTCCTTTGGGTTTGAGTTCCTGACTAGTCTTTTTGGCCACTTTGCTTGAGGTGATGACTTCGTGTTCGTTCTGAACATGCCTGGAGTTTGGGGGCAGGTGAAGGAGAAAGCGATCACCTTCAGCAACGGAGTCTTGGCTGTATAAATGAGCCACTGGCCAAACACCTCCCGAATCAACTTCCCACGGTTTGGTGGTTTTGGCACTGGGTCTTCACAATTCAAACTTGTCGCCATAAGGGGTTTGTTGATGAGGTCAGGCCAGTGATGGTTGAATGTCTGGATTTAAGTTTGAGGAGTCCCACCTGCGAAGAAGTAGAGGGTTGTGATCGCTATATCGCTATTGGACATATTCCTCCGTCCAGCTGGCAAAACTAAACATGAGACATTTCCTTCCAGGATCATCCAATGGGTGTCCAATAGACTACCCTGGGCATCCATTGGAAGTGCTAAGGTTTACAAACTACGTAATCAAAAATTAATCGTTTGACGACACTCCAACAATTCCTTCAAATTTCAACATTTGACACAACCGCTGTATGCATAGAAGTGTGTGGCCTAGAAAGGTTGCTGATGACATACATTCAGCCTCCACTTGGACGTCTACTTCTGTGGATGTTTACTGCAGATTTCTGCAGCCCATGCCTTTGTTTTTGCTTCTCCGCATGTTTCGATCCTGTACAGGATTGCCACCCAGAGGTGTCCAACAAACCAACCTCAATCCAGTCCACAGCAGTCAACCAATGCCAGTGTTGAAACACCAAACCAAGTGGTGTCCTTGTTGCCCGTCCATAGCAGTTGTTGAAGCTTTCATCATGGAACTTGACTGGCTTTGAGCCAGGTGCCCCCCAAAAAAGACAAGTGTTTGATGCCTCCCTACAGAGACATGTTTGACTTTAGAAGGCTCACTTTAGAGCATGGTGGTGATTCTTTTGAAGCCGTGAACTATTTGTGCCCAGGTGCTGTGTGGCATCGCCAGTCTGTGCAACTGTGTGGAGAAAAAAACAGATCCTGCCGGGCGGCAGGATCTGTCCGAGACTTTGGGCGATGGCATCAGGTTTCTCCGAGCTTACCTGTAACAGGTCGGTAGACGACGGAGATGTCGGCCGGCTGACCTGCAGCTGACCCATCATCCAGCTGGGCCCAGGGAATGGGATACACCCAAGGTGGGTTTTTTGAATAGGAAGGCCCCAACATCCCCTGGCCCTGACTCGGATAGACCCAAGGGGATGGCGCCGCCATGTCCCACCCAGGTGACGGTCGGTAGGTCGTCCACACCGATGCAGTCGGTCTTCGTCAACTGGTCGGTCTTCGACCAGTGCTATGACCCATGGCTGTGTGGAGGTTGATCGATCGATTTGGTCAAGGCCTTGAAAGAAGGTTTCGAGAAGATCGATGGTTTTGGATCGCATGGCAGAATCTTTTATAGATGATTTTAAGACCATTCACCATTTGAAGCACTTCCCTACGTACGTCTCTGGGTCAAGATCCAAACCTGGTCCGTTCCTGACATGTCTTTTTCGTGGTGTTTTTGGTATCACAGACGTCCAGTTGCTTTCATGAGGTCCGTTCCTGACACTGTACGATGCGTCCGAGGACGTCCTCAACACGGCGGCCGAACACCGGATCGGCCAGGACCCCTTTCCACCAACCGAGAGAGGTGAAGTGACCTGAACTAGGACCCGTCACCTAGGGTACCCAACTGGGCTGGTCTAGTTCGGGTTCTTCAACCTGTGTTGGAACCCTGGGCACCCCCCCTGACCTAGGCCGAGAATGCTGCGGCTCTTCGAGAGAGAGGCCAGACGGGACGGTTCGAAGGCCATGCCCCGGTGAGCGCTGAGCGGACTCGGCAGTGGACACGCCAAGATCAATCTGGATCCATCGATTTTTCGGGTGTGTTTTTGGTCCAAATCATCCAGTGGGCACCGGTAGTGGGAGATGGGTATTTCGCAAGGACCCCCCCACACTCAAAGAGGTTTGTGACCTCTTCTCCTTCCAGGGGAAGCCTGGTCAAGTGAGTTAAAGCCTGGAGCTCTGGCTGGTTTGTTTGGTCAATCATTCTCTTCTTGGCCCGTGGTCTTTTTTCAGGGTTGCCTGGTGATCCACAGCCATTCAGAAACCCAAGAGCTCCATCTCCACCACGCGTCGCATCGGCGTCGCATCCGCGTGAAACGACATGTCGCCGCCTTCGCGAACGGATTCATCGGCCGCCGCCTTCATCGGCCGAGACGAGGCGGCTCTTCCTGGCGACGGCTGTGAGAACCCAGACACGACTTAGTGGACTGGTTCACATAGATTTGGGGTGGTGTGTCTTTTTCAGGGGTCAATGTCCGTGTATATATTAATATTTATACATGATATCTACCCGGTTTTTGCTTAGGAGGATTGTTTCTTTTCCGGATGTGTTTTTGTTTAATGTTTTTTTACTTTGGTAAATATGTGTCTTTTTATCCCGGCTTCCTGGACAGCCCATCGGTCGTTTTTGGGGAGCAATCAAATAGCCTTGAGGCTTTTGGGGGCATTCTTGAACGTCCAAACCCTTTGGCCCCAGAAAAAGCGGAAGCGACCCAGAAGCGCAGGCTGGAAGCTTCTGACCTGCGATCCGAAGATTGTGGAACCTTGGTATCGAATAGCGTCCTTGCTACTAGTAGTAATGGCCTCCAACCTACTAGCTTCTTGCTACTAGTCGCGATGGCCTCCCTAGTAGAGATGGCCTCCACCCTGGTAGCGACGGCCTCCACCTTGGAATGAAATGGCAGTGAGTCAAAACCCAAAACCCCTAATCCTTGGTAGGTCACCCGAGTCCCCAGGTCAAAAGACCCGCCAAATGACGGGCACTTGTTACTATATCACAGCCCCTGCAGTTTGGTTCTTGGCTAGGGCGACTCTGTCCGATTTTCTACCAAGCTCGTGTACAGTGGTTTCCGGGTGGCACAATCCCCAAATGTGATTTAGATGGACCTCCATAAGGACATCTTGGGTCTGTGCCTTCTACTCTGAAACTACTGACATGTTTCCCTGCAAAACAGCACGCAGCGCAACTCTTTGATTTAATTCAGCCACGCCATCACTCGCAAAGCCAATCACAGGTATTTCAGTGTGATTCATGTAGCTTTCGTAGATTCGATCGTTTTTGCTCACAAGGTGTCACCTAATAGGTTGATCTTTTCAACTTACAAACCATTAATTACAAACCAACAAACCCTGCAAAAAGCGGCGGAAGGAAAGACCACATCTTGTAAACCCGCAACGAAACAGGGTGTCGGCCCATGTCGGCCCCACGCGAAGAGACAACAAGCAAGGTTCCTTTTGAAAGATCTGAAGCCAGAAACAACCAGGATCCAAGAGGTGCCTATAAATAGCCTCTTGGAGGAAAAGGGGGTGTCCAAAAACCACCTGTTGGAAGGTCCTGGAATCTGGAATATGATGCCTGGTTTGAAGGTCTTGTTTTCCAAGGCCCTTGAGCCTCGGCTCAGCTCGGGTCCAAAGCTACCAGCGGTCAAACAAGTCTTGTTGTGTATTTTGTTCCTTTTTATGTTTTGCACTTCTTGAGCTTTTGGTCAGTCTAATTACCCAGTAGCCATTTTGTTTGAATTCGCATGTCGAGTTCTAGCATCTCCTAGCTATCCATCCAGTTCACCGTGGGGTGAGCTAAGCTAACCGTTACGCAGTCGAAGAGACCCGTAGACGGCGGTGCACGTCCGTCCCTCATGAGATCCAGTCGTCGTACCGTACCTGACCCCGCAGCTACATGCACGTGTTGAGCACCGAAGCCACTAAGGATGTTTTGCGGAACAAGGTGCGCGCCGTACTTCGCGGTCCCTCGTGCTGACGAATCGTGGCCGCGGTCGGCCGCGCTCGGCCGAGTGGCCGTCCGCTCGAGAGAGGCGGAGCGCGGCCGGCCATCGCGGAGCGCAGGATGGGTGGATTTGTTCTTGGAGCGCGGCCTGTGAAATGCGGCGCGTAAAAATGGGCCTTCCAGGAGTTGAAAAGAGGGCTGGAGGAACAGATTGGCATTCCTTGGTTGATTTATCTTGTCTTTTCTGGTGTCGGTTCTTATTGGCATTCTTTGGTGCCAAGAACTGACTTCTTCACCCGCAGGATCTCGCGGCAGATGTTGCAAGCCAATATAATGTAACTCAGGGCTGGCTTTGAATCCGGAATGGTGCTTTGCTGGTTTTACAATTCCCATGACAAAATGGCCTCGCTTCACCGCCCTGCAGTCCCACTTTCCTCGAAAGACGGCCCGAAAGCAATTCTTGGTCTTGTTTAACCACCTCCGCATCCGCCGCTGCGATGCTTTGGTGGGGCATACGAGATGTGAGACTTGTGTTTCCTCGCTCGAACACAGTTCTATACTGTGCACCTCAAGCCCAAGCCCAACTCGAGCCACCAATCATAGTTGAATGACCAAAAAGTCCACCAAGTCCAGAGGCGAATCATCTGGAACGAACCACGGATGTCTTCCTCAACGGTCTCAGGGCGGGTCTCCGCCCAACTCGACCAGTTCCCTTCGACGGAACGTCTGATGCCAGGGGAAGCTGCGGACGTTGGCGGCCAGCTTAGGCCAAGACAAGCGGACTCGCGGACTGAGCAGTGTTGCGGCAGACTGGCCCGACGTTGGGAACATGCGGATGCACCATATAAAATAAGGAGATACAGCCTGATCCAATGGATTGAATAGTTGACATGCTGGAACGACACGGCAGATGCAGATGCAGGTTTGTTGTCTTTGCTGCCCCAACACTTCGACTTCTTTAGTGACGCGCCCCTTGGATTGGAAGGCCAAAGGGGAGACCGCCGAAAAAAGGCCGGGGGGCCGGCGAGTTTCATTCCCGACATCCTGTACAGATGGCTTAGGGGGGTGGTATCTTTGGAGGGTGTTTTCAGAGAATCAGTCTCTTTGGGAAAGAATTCGATGGGATTCCGTGCAGAATGGGATTCCGTGCAGAATCTTTGCTGACTTCCTTTCCCCTAACCCTAGGGATCCAAGTACCTTCTCACAAGGCACTCCTCCAAATGTATACATAACAGTGTCTCCAATCACCTTCTGAGAAGCTACTTGGATCCAGACGCTCCAACACATATGCCCAGATGCATTGGTCGGGTTTGCTTCGGGTCCGACCCCTGAATCGCAGCTGCGGGATTCTCTCCACATGCTGCGGTCGATCCTCACGGATGCTGCGTTCACTTCGTGAACGCTCGGTCCGGTTGAGTTGGTCCAGTCGTGTCTATACATGCATTGTTTCAACGCATTTCAACGCTTTAACGACGGAACGGGCTTCCATTGCTGGAACGGAGGGCTTCGACGACCGGGCTGCTCTTCTTTACATCTTCCATGGCGAAGCCCCCGTCTCTCAAGCAGTGGGCAGTTTCGTTTGTGCCACGACCACCGTTGTCCTCCCATGGCGAAGCTTTGCTATCGCTTCAGCTTCATCCATGAAGAGCCAGCCTTTAGAGATTCGCATCGAGCTCAGCGAGGTCAGAGCTGTCCCGAGCTGTCAGAGATCGAATGGCGCTGGCCCGAATGGCAGAGCCACATCCAGGCGCCGTAGATTAAGCAGAGGATCGTAGATTTGCCTGTCCACCGGTGAAGTCGACACGCAGTGAACACTGGGGTGTGAGAATGTTTAGCATCCTTGCTCCCTTCATAGTGATGCCCTTGTTACTAGTAGCTTCCTTGTTACTATAGTAATGCCAGGAGCTACTAGTAGCTTCTTGCTCCTAGCATGATGGAATAGTTATATACTCTTTTCGCATAGCAAAGCTGATATTTCCTTTTAGGTGCTGGTTGAATTGTTGCATCGGAGATTTGAGGAAGTTGAAGGGACAGACCTGACGTCCAGGGTAACAACAACTACTACTTTACGACTATAGACCCCTACCCAGTCAGTGGATAACCATGGGCATTGATGTCCCTAGTAAACAAAAAACAGGTGGACCACTACCACTACCACCCTACTACTACTACTACTACTACGACTACTACGACTACTACGACGACTACGACTACCACGACCACGACCACCACCACCACCACCACCACGTACTAGGGCTAGGACTGGCCAATAGTACTGTGGAACAATTACAGATTCGGACTCTGAATAGACCAGTTGCGGGTCGTTGTTTTTTTGCTTGGTGAGGAAGTTGAATCTGAATTTCCTGTGAGGTGAGGAAGTTGTACCAACGGTCACAACATGTGAGGGATCAGATGCAACGCGCATTGGTATTTCCAAAGCCAGGCAGGGGGATGCTGAGGGGTTTGGCCGGAGTGCTTGCATGTGCAACATTTGGCAAAGTATGTCCAAGCAATCAGTTTTGAGGTACATCATTGTCAGTTTTTTTGATACAACCATTTTCTTCAGGGTGTTTGGCGGGAAAACCACATTTTTTTGGACCGTTGGCAAAGAGGTCAGATTACCGCAGTAATCTCTTCACCTGTCCAATCTTGGCTCGATGGACCACTGAACACCGCCCTTCTTGCGAGGCATCTCGCACGGCAGCCACGAACATCCAGAGGTTTGCAACCGGTCATGCATCCTATTTCTTCATGGAAAGTGTCAAGAGGTGGGAACGCCAGAGTCCCATGGCTTTGGTGTTGGGATGGTTGTAGCAAAGAAAGCCAAAATCATGTTTGTTATGACCCGTTATATGAATTTAGGTTTGTCTTCGCGTGGCCATGTGTAGCCTACAATGTGAAATAGTTTGAATACCCCCCCAGGTGAAGGAACTTTAAGAATAGGGCCGAGATTCGCTCAACACTCAAGTCGCTCAAAAAGTGTGGGACAATGACCAGCAGTCCGTCATTGTAGGATCCTCCGTATCGAAGGATGCTCTTGTGCCGCATTGTTGGGGCTTTGCCAGAAGCTGAGGTGGCAACATGTACTGGATTCGCATTTGATATTTGTGCGTAAGAAGAAAAGTTCAGAACAGCTGGGGGTAAGTGCATGTTTGGGGTGACGTGGACTGCCTTTATAGTTATGCAATCATGTCCCTGTAGCCCCCTACACGTGGACAAGAATTGTCCAAAGGCACAGCAAAATCAGTTCTTTGCATCTAAACTGTCTGGAATTACGTAGAATCAGGTATTCCCACTCGCATGGGATGAACGTTGGCTCACTCGAACATTCTCAGGTCTGGGCACTGTTCAGCATTTTACTGGGTCCGCGTGTTTTGCGCCAGTCGCACATTCCGTAAAGATGAACATCCCGTTTGGATGCTGGCGCCAAAGAAAACCAAAGAACTGCAACGAAGTGAGCCCGAACACCGACAGAGTCATCTCGCCTTGCAGGATGCCGAATGTGGCTTTTGCCATGCTTCCCACCAACAGCGAGCAGTCAGCTTCAATCAGGGTCAACGGAGGATTGTGAGCTCATGGTCCAAAGTGAGATTGCTTGACACTCCAATGAACGTCGAAGAGTTTTCCTGTTCCGAGCACGATTGATTTGTGGGGGGAGTGCTTGTTTAGCCCGCTTGCGGGTTGGCACAGAAAGCCACTGGTTCCTTCATCTGAGGAAGTGGTCCTTCCATATTTGTGGATCAAAGTAGAGGCAAGCAATCATCCAGGAGCAACCGTCCTTCTGGACCTCGTGGAGCGCGAGCTGGCCATCCGTCGAATCCATGATCACAGCAACTGGCCAGCTAGATTTTTCACCGGAACTTTCTGAATTGAAGCTGGGTGGTGTGAAGAGTTCTTGTCAAACAAAACTGCTTGCGTTCCATATGATGCCTTGCGCAAGGTATCACCAATGAGTCCCGAGTCCCTGGCCAGATCGGACATACTCTCGCTTGTATGACTCTTTCGGCCTTGGTGGGCGTCATTTGTATCCTGGTTTTGCCTAAGGTTATGTTTTTGTTTTCCCAAATAATATTTTCAAATTGTCCTGGTTGCAAACAAGCAAATCCAAGGTATGAAGAAAGGTGAGGCTCCTTTCTTCCGGCTCCTGAAGAAGGCCTTGATCGACTTTCGTCGGCAGGTGGGAGGATTTGATCCTTGATGAGTTTCCTTGTTTCAATTTTGGCAGAGGCAGACACTGTGAGTTGAACAGTGCAAGAAATGGCACTTGTTCACTCCCAACAAACAGGTACTTGAGAGGCTGTACCTGGGCCTTCTCCGGCCAAATTAGGCACTTCAAGGACAGGCTTTTTGATACATAGCTACTTTAACCACTGATGGCAAATTCACCAGCTAGACCCTTTCCAAAAAAAAGCTGCAGGGCGGTGGGGTGCTACTGCCCCTTGCAGAATATTGAGTGGACTTCCACTGGTTTTGCCAAAGCGCTGGAGTGGATTGACCGACGTTGAGGATAGCCTTACAAGGTCATCTATGTGGCAAGAATCTTGAGCACAGTTTGTGCTTATTGTTTGAAAAGCCACTCATTCTTTGTGTTCACCTCGCAAGTAGAGCATGTCTTCTTGGTTCAAGTAGACTCCTGTGTTCAAACAACCTGTGGGAGTCCGAGACCACCAGACAAAACGTTCCGGAGCAGTTCTCATTCAATGATCAGAGCTGTGCCAGTTGCTCTGTAGGTGTTGTACATTGAACTGTTTGTTTGCTTCTTGTGTTTTGCTCACCCGGAGAACCAGCGTTAATGAGTGTGGGTGTTGCAGAAGGAGCTGCTACAGATGCTAGGGGATTGCTCCAATGCCCGTGTTTTGCCAAAGCTGGAGTGGATTGACCGATGTTGAGATAGGAACAGCTTCATGGCTTACTTTTGTTGCTTTTAGCTCATCGAGGTCATCCATGTGGCAAGAATTTTGAGCACAGTTTGAGGGTTGTTTAAACACAAAACACGACGCTGTTGAAATATTGAATGGCTGAAGTTGCTTCTAGTGCAAACGTGCTCGGCCAAGTCAACGATTCTGTCACGATGTTGAAGCCGTGGGTTTAGCCCGAAAGCATAAACAGTTGGAGAAATCCAATCACACCGAACTCTGCAAGCGGTTGCCCACTGGCCAACTTGTGGCAAGCATGACTGGCAGACGTGGATCATCATGATGAAAAGACATGAAGCAAGAGGATGTCGGAGAGTTACCAATGGTGTGCTAAGTTCTTGTTCGAAAAGCAACTCTTTGATCGAACAAAAGCGGGGTTTGGCATGATGTTCACCGCGCAAGTAGAGCACATCTTCTTGGTTGATGTAGACTCCCGTGTTCTAACAGCCTGTGGGAGTCCAAGACCACCAAACAAAACGTTGCGGAGCAGTCCTCATGCAATGATCAGAGCTGTGCCAGTTGCTTTGTAGGTGTTGTACATTGAACTGTTTGTTTGATTCCCGTGTCTCGTTTGTCTCTTTCACTAGCAAGTAAGCAGAAATATCCATATCCATGTTCCATAGTGGGTGAGGATTCCAAGTGACTCGTGCTTGCCATTGAGGACATACCCGTGCATTCTGAAGCTCGGGGAGCTCATGTGGGTCCTGGTAGGTCTGGTGGGGGACAAGTGACATGTCTGACAGGCTCAGGCCTGCCTTTGGTAGGCCTGGAAGTGCATGGAATTCCTGGTTCCAGGGTGACTTTGAAGGATATTCTTGACATTTATTTGGGTATTTGCTACTGGCTGTAGGCTACAGGCTCGACCACATGGCTGTTGAAGTGCAAAAAAAGCAAGTGTTCGTTCCATACGTGGGTAATTTGGTTTGACTTCCACTTCATCGAACAAACTATATACCAGGATTAGCTGCTCCTGGGCTTTGCCAATTCCCATTTACTGCTTGGTGAGACGTGTCTCGGCTGTTTCACTTCCGCTTTCGGCCAACATCCCCGCTGAAGCGGCGGGGTCCTTTAGTTGATCCTACAAAAAGCAACATCACTCCCAGGTCAGTAACGGACCTCATAAAATACTGGACGTGGTCATACAAAGAAAACCACTAAAGAGGATGTAGTTTGGACCAGGTTTGGATCTTGACCCAGACTGGACGTATGTAGGGCTCAGAATCATACAAAGGAACGGACCCCATGACCTCAGTTTGAAACAGCTAAGACCTGGTCGCCTGAGTCTTAGACGATTCGAACGGAAGATCCGTTTTGGTCCGCCCGAGGCCAGCGATCGGCACCTTCGGCAAGAATACCTACATCGCCTCTTGGATGATATCGTCCACTTCGTGGTGTTTGTGTTGTTTTTGTTGTTTTTGTTTGTTGTTTTGTTCTTTGCACAAAGACGCCAAAACTGGTTTCGTATGATTTATTGTCATTATTTGTCTATGTTTTTGGGCAAGTACCGAGCCAGACCTGCTGTTTTTGCTGCCCATGTGGCTTGGGAGGGAAAGTTTGTTGTTTTTGGTTGATGTGGGTCCAATGATGGGAACAATTTTAGATGCGATCCATGTTCAGATGCGGTTGTATAGTGTTCTTCGTTGAACGTCCGTAGACCCTTTAGTGAGAAGTATAGTGAGAAGCTATTGGATTGGTATGTGTCGATTTATTTATGGAGCCCATTTATATATAGGGTCTGTCCTATTACCTGCAACAGTCAGTAAACAATTATCACTATTTCTGAACAAGGCCTCTACTAACCATCATCATCCACAGTTACAGGTAATAGGATGATAGACCCAATTATATATATTGTAATATATCATAAGAGACTCTGAGAGAGATATACAGATGTATGCCGAGCGCACCAAATCCAGCAGCTTTGTGCAAGCCTTTTGCGCCCAAAACTTAACTCAGCAGCAAGGTTTCGAGGTAATCGGAGCTTTGCGTATTTTGGGAACAGAGAACGTCGTTTTTGTCATCAGATCACGGAAGTACATCCTTGTTATTGCAAGTGATCCATGTCCTCTTTCAACCTTGTTCACGTCTTCTTCCTGAAAAATCCAAACCGCGTCGATCTCGTTTTTTGGAGCAGACCTTTGACGCGACCGTGTTGACATAACCGCTGGCGCCGCAGACCTTTGTCTCGCGCCGCGCTCTAGTCTCGTCTGGGGGTGCAAATCCTGCTCCACGTGGGCCTTGAGGATCGGAGGAGCGACATGATCACGACCTTCTATTCGCAGACCTTGGCTCAGTCCCCGAGGACGTCGCGACGTCCTGCTCAGGGACTGAGCCTTGCTGAGCTACCACCTCCGGCTCAGCAAGAGCCTTGTGGAGAAGGATCGTGAAACCTCCACCGCCTGAAACTGAGAAGGATGTTGCAAGGAGGCTGAGGCAAGGAGGTTTCTAGTCGCCCAGCGACTTGCCTCACAAAAACAGCACCTGCAAAGTCTGCAAAGTCGCATTGATCCACCAAGAAACCTGCAAACAAAAATCACTTGCTGGAAGACATGGAGGCTATCCAAGCGAATCTTGGAAGTCAAAAACCGTGCTTCACCAAACCATGGTGAGCCAGCCGAGTCGTGTGGGTCTCCCACCCCTCCTTTTGAGGCCATGACAAAAACATGGATGAAGGAATGCCTTCCTTTGACAAACGGCAATCCATGCGCTACAAATCATGCATGACCAACTTTCAGATGTCACCCGCTCTTCATTTGCTGGTGAGTTGGGGCTGAAGCCGATGTGCGGCCTTCAACACACGTTGGGGCTGAATGTCTTCAATTCTGTGACTTAAACGCTCCAGTCCTGGACCCAAAACCCCCAGTCCCCGGAGGGCCGTGAACTGGTCGGTACCCGTAGTGAAGTCGGTCGGTACCGAGCCACCGCGCCAAGAGTTGGGGGAGGTAGCAGCTGCCAGCGCGCCAGGGCGTTCAAAGTGGATGAAGAACGCGTTCAACACGCCGCCTGCGGACGCGAAGCAAAAGGTCCATCTTCACGCCGCCTGCGGAGCCCAACAAGTACTCAGTGGATGGAGACTGGAACAACACGTGTGCTGCAGGCACCTTCAACCACCATCGAGTAAGCGCAGGCAAAAAGAAATCCAACACGTGCACCTTCCACATCTCAGCTCCTCGCTCCGAGTGCTGCAACCGTTCTTTAAAAAGAAACCGTTGTATACGTACCATTAGCGGCCGGAGTCTCGTCTTCGTCTCGTCTCGTAGAGGTCCAACGTTGGGCTCCTCCGTTTGGAGGAACCGAACGCTGCTCGTTCGCGTCCGAACCGTGGCGGAAGCGAGTTGAAGCAAGGAGCGCCCTGTTGTTGGTGCTTTGGCGCACGCTAAGAGATTTTGGTGATGTTGCACCATTTTTGGGACCAGAACATGACTGTTGTTGGGCCACGTGGTCACGAAGGCGGTCGCTAAATTCAGAGCCGATTCGTTGGTTGCGGACCACTCCAAAACGGCTGGTCAGAGCACCGTCATGAAAAGAGGTTGGTGACAGGCGGCGAATGGCGGAGCTGATTCCAGGTGTGGCAGGTTTGCTCCCAAGTCCGAAGACTTGCGGGATCCGAAGCTCAGGGCCCTACTAGCTGTGAACAAGTGTGCAAAAACCGAACAGATGCCGATAGGTTCTATTGTCTTTCTTTCAGATCCTGTCCGAATGGGTTCACCTGGTTTTTGTTCACCCATGGTCGCCACGGCCGACACCCAAACACGGCGACCCAGGACACGGTTTTGAGTTCCGGCTTTTGCTCGGACTGCTGAACAGACTCGGAACAGGCACCGACTGGGAACAGACTCGAACGTCGCAGCTTGAACATCAAGCTTTTTTTGGCGTTTTGGTGTTCTGTGAAGGGCTTGGGATGACCAGAACTCATGAAAAATGGACGCCGGACGCCCTGAGGTAGAGAGCAAGGAGCAGGCTATGCGGCTGGCACCTGATGGGTTGGATGAGACATGGATCTTGCAGGGGTTCCCAGACGATCTCAGTTGTTTGGACAGTGGAAAACACAAACAGGTGGTGGTGTGGCGAAAAAGGTGTGTCTTTTTTCAATTTGGTGGATTGAATTTATGTTTAAAGGTGGTGTTTGGAAGGCTACTTTTCGCTTGTGCATGGTGTGGGATTGAGTATGACTATCTATATATTACACATGTTTAGCGGGATTGTGGTATGAAACATCAATCAGCGTAGCCCAAAAGCTCTCCAGAAGGTACTAATGCACCATCCTACCCGTGTGAGGATAGACATAAACGCCAAAAAGGGACGTGATAATTATCACCTACCCCTGCCCATACCCATTCACCATGGATCATCATCACGCCGTGCCAACTGTGAGGCAAGAGCTAATCACGGGAGAGTTGGAGTATTCCACCACGCTCCTGGTGCTTGATGGGAAAATCCTTGTGGGAAAACCCAGTATGGCTGGAGTGAGAGGGGTGAGATGGGATAAGTGGGTGATATCGGCTGACTTCCACAGGCCGGGTCACGAAGGCAATTTCAGGTTCTTCCACATGACGGAGGAATGGATGCCTTTTGATCCGGGGCCGAAGAGGCACCGGAAAATGCACCAATGTTTTGCAGCATGTGCCTGGGTCCAGACCCCCAAACACTGGCTGAGGCAGGGTAGTGATTTGGGTCTACCATGTTTTTGCATGTGTTTGCCGGAAATTGCATGGACTATTCGGTTTTATGATGTTGTTGATATTGTTTGCTTGTACTTGGTAAGCTTTGACCAACGAACTCAACGCATCATTGACGAAGACAAATCGAGCAGCAACAGAGCAAGTTGAATGTTTCGGAACCAACACTATATACATGATCAAACGTGGTGTTGTTTCAATAATAATCATGCTCGTAAGAAGACCACCATGGCAAAGTGGAAAGTATAGTGGGTTTCACAGTGCGTTATGAGCTATACTTGGGATGTGTTACTCTAAAAACCCTGGACGTATTCCATCCGAGTTGGGACAGGGCAGCTTGTTGCACTTCGGACTTCTTGGTGAAGTCTCGCAGAGCAGCTTTCTTGCGAGACTGTGCTGGTCTGGTCAAAGTGAGGCTTCCTGAGTGGTTTGTGAATGGTAAATGTGTTGCTAGGGGTTAAATATAGTTACAAGATGTTACAAGTTACAAGTAACAAGGGCTAGTACTGATGCACTTGTTCCCTATGACTTCATGACGCATCATGAAAGCTAAATAGAAGATGCTCAACTTGTAGGTCTTGAGAAGTTAGAGGTTGGGTGTCGCCCACATTTGACGGGCTGAGGATTGGGCCGGCATGAAATACCAGTACAGCATGGAGGCCTATGCCAGAGCCTCACAAGGCCGCTAGTGGCTTTGCGGTCTGTTCCCGAACAAGGCATGACGCTTTCGTCAGTCGTGTGAGTTGTGCGGGTTCCCAAAGTCCTTTGACTCGATCTGCAGCAACGACATGCTGTGACATGCAGCAATGACAAGTTCTCATCTCTGTTGTTTCTTTTTTTCAGATTGCATCAGTTCTTCTCATACGCAAGCGAATTCACCGAAACCATGGAGTGTCGCTTTACATCATCCAAAAGGACCTCGGATTTTCTGACTGACCACCGTGATGAACTCACACGCGCCCAGGTTTGGCCCCACGTCCGCTTAGTGGACCAAGAGCTTTGTAGTGTGCCCGTGCGGAGGTCCCAGAGGTTTCGACCGTGCTTATGGAGGTCTTTGGGGGGGCTTTAGTCCGGTGTGTCTCACAAGAAATGGACCTGGTAAGCTAAGAAAGAAAAGCTGGAATTTCATCCGCACACGCAGATCGTTTGAAGAAATTCGACATGGATGGGCAAACAAGTCTTCGCAATCTGGATTCTTGCAAGAAGCAACCACCAAGAGGGATTATATATATAACTTATACAGGTGTTTTCTTGGTTGCTTCTCCAAACTGTTTTGAACCATTCTTGCATGTTCCTTTGGACCGGGCTATTCTTTTCCAAAAGGACCACGTTTGTGTCAAACAGGCCTTTGGCTGACAGTGTCCATGTCGGACACGCGTGGCACGTCACACGCGTGGCACGTCCCACGTCGTGACTGCAGGCTTGTAACTCGCCGGCCCGTTTCGTGCCGCTCATGACGGTGGGGGCCGAATTTGTGTTCGGGTTAGTTTTTCGTGTAAAAACCGTGCCAGTTGAGTGGTGGCAGTCTGGAGATTGGTATGTTCCTTTGAAATAAAAGCAGAACCCACTGTTGACCGGGTTGGGTGTTTCCAGTTCCCGGAATGGTGTTTCTGGTTCCCGTGCAGCTTCTTTTCCTGGAATCGGTTTTTTGGTTCCCAGAAACGGTTTTTGGGTTCCCGCCGGGTAATTCCAGTTCCCAGCGGTGTTTTGGGTTCCCATCCTGAAGTCCTTTACAGAGTGGTCGTCCGCGGCCTTTTGCATGAAACCGTGAGCACAAAACTCAGACCCAGGCGTTAATAAGTTAGGTACAATGAGTATTTGAATATAGTATTTATATACAAAAAACAGCATTGGTGGTTTGCTGGTTGCTTGCTCGGTTGCAGGTCCCCAATTCAAAAGCGGGAGGGGGTGCGGGGGAGGGCACACAGCGCCTCCCCGGCAACGCAGACAAAGTCGAGACGGAAGCTTTGTTGGAAACCAGATGTGGTTTGCTGGTTGCTTGCTCGGTTGCATGGTCCAAATTGAAAAGCGGGAGGAGGGGGGTGCGGGGGAGGGCGCAGCGCCTCCCCTGCAATGCAAACAAAGTCTAGACAGCAGCTTTGTCCTTGCAATGCAGGTTTTTCTAGGGATCATTCTGGTTTACTTTCTATCGCAGCTTGCAAAAAGCATGTTTTTCTCAGGGATCACTGTGGTTTGCTTTTTGCGTGCAGCTTTGGCGGTTGCGCAGGGTTGGACCTGAGAGACCAGATGTGGTTTGCTGGTTGCTTGCTCGGTTGCATGGTCCAAATTAAACAGCGGGAGGGGGTGCGGTACCTCAGCTCGTTGTGACACTTTTCTGTGACACTGTCTTCATATATTTCTTACCTGGCCGTATATCTCCGCATACAGTGACGCAAAGCCACCGATACCATCAATTTCCACTGCTCTTGTTTTCTGCTTTTCTGTTTTGTATCGAAGCTGACCCGTTCGTTGCACTGCAACGTCTCGAATGCTCCACCGTGCGTTCTGCCGCGTCACAACATTGCAAGTGGTGCAGCCGACCGTGTTGTCGCCGGCGGGAACCAAAAACACCTTTTTTCTATATTTCTCCTGCGGGAACAAAAAACATGCAGCCGACGGTGTTGTCCCCGGTGGGAACCAAAAACACCTTTTACTATATTTCTCTTGTGGGAACCAAAAACACCTTTCCAGGTGCCGGAAGCACCCCCGGCCACCAGAAACACCATTCCAGCCGCTGAAAACACCTAAGCGGGAACCACAAAACCTCCCAAGCGGGAACCGGAAACACCGCCCGACGTGCGGGAACCAAAAAAACACATCCAGGAAAAGAAGCTGCACGGGAACCAGAAACACCTTTCCGGGAACCGGAAGCCCGGAGCCCCCACTGACCCATCGGTTTTTGGTCCGGCTCGGTCCGCGATGCTGCGCGATGCACGTCCCAGGCAGAGCACAGACAGCTGATGGAGAAGTTCCTGGTGGGTTTCAGTGACTCAGCTGGAGTGGGAGGAAGTCACCGGTACTCTGAAAAGGGTTTCTAATAAGAATGTGTATTGTAGGTTCAGGATGGTTCACGTATTATATGTTTGTATACTTTGTATACAATTGAAAATATGATAAGTATACACATATATAGGAACTTATATACTTCCAGCCACTCAATCTGCCTGCGGGTACGATCCCAAAGAATCTCTGAACAAATACAACACATCGAGTATTTTTTGAGGGCACACATGGTCATTTTTGCCAGTCATTCAGTCTTTTGATCTCCGTTGTCGAGCGGGTGCTCGTCAGCTTGTGTTCGCCAGTGAGCATGTTAAACATGAACAATAAGGCATGTGATTGCTCGATGTTCATAGTTTTTCCATGTTTCTTCCCTCCGTGTGTCCCACTTCCAAAGCAAACTCTTTGCTGCTTTGCCCTTTGGCCAGGTGGCATTTGCAACTTCAACTTCAAGCTGAGGGAGGATGGCACCATGTGCATCTTCGAAGTGAATCCTCGTGTCGGGGGGCCTCTGCTCTCGGTGGCGTTCCGACAGTCGAGATGAAAGCACTGATATAGCTGTGGCACCAGATGTGTTTGGCAACAGATGATAAAGAGGCTTCACGTATGTTTGGACTTGTTCTTTGACCGCCTAAAACTTGGGGGCCGACCAGTCCTCTTCAAATGCCAACTTGCACCTAAAAAACTATGTATATGTTTCGCTTCTGGGCCGCCCAATGTGAAGATTTAAGAATCGCTGCTCTGCCCGAGCGAGTCTGTGAAAACCGTCTGACTGACAAGTGTGTCCGACCTGGCACTGTCTTGTTTCAAGTGTCCCACTCGGGATGGACTCGTGCGGTGACCTCTGATTTGCCCGCGAGACTAAGCAAGTCTTATAAGAATTACTTTTTCATATTGTTTCTCTTGGAGCGACCAGTCCTCTTGGAGCGACCAAAGGGATATCGCATCCTGCTCGGTCCGCCGAACACGGCGACCGAGAGTTGTTCGGTCCTTCCTCCATTCATTGGACCATCCGTCGACGCCTTGGCTAGCGTAGGCCGCGTAGGCCTTGTCCGGTTTATCCAAAGCTTGTACATGACACTATAGCACTAGTACTATATATATATACAGTATACACAACTGTAACTATATGATATGTATCAGCAACCTCGAGCAGCTATCATCTAGAACATGTTCACATGTTTCAAGCTCCAAGGGGAATTGGTGCACAACATCACTGGAGAATGACTCGACATGACTCCGGTCCGGTGTCACCAGTCCACCGGTCGGACTCCAGGTGGGTGGGGATTTGGCCTTCGATCTTCCAAAACCAAGGGCACGGGTGACCCAGAACGAACGACGAGGACGAGTAGACGGGGACTGGGGACCGCCGGTTGAGGACGCGACGTTTGGCGCGAAAGGGGTTCCGGGGATGTGCCCAAGTTCCCCACCCCAATACGGTTCTTTGGATGAAAGACGTGTGTTCGGAACGGGGTGAGGTACGGTTGCGTACATCAACCTTCGCCCGTGGTGCGTCGACACGGCTGTTGCACATCACTTCACCAAGATCACCGCTGGCATGATCGTAGATCCCATTGACGATACAATCAACACCGCTGGCTTGCGACGTCCTTAAGTAGACCATACACCTGTAGAAACTGTTGTTTGTGAGGTCCTTGTGAAACGGTCAGCCAGTCATTAGGGGTGCACGCCACGATGTGTTCAAAGAGGATATATACCTTTGAGTGAAAGCATTCACTTGTAATGTATGAAACATTCTAAAACTCTTTTTTTCTAGATTATATAACATAATATATATATATATTTATATTTATTTAATCGTAAGTATTGTCGTAGGACTGTCTACAGGTAAGTTACGAAAGCCAGCCTTCGTAGAAGGCGCCAGCTGAGTTGTGCTTGGCGAACGAAGTGAGTAGTTAGGGGGTCTGGGGGTGGCCCGCAAAAGGTACACGTCAACTCGGCACATGCTGAGGGAGGAGGGTGCACGGATGGAAGGTTTTTTGAGGTTGTGTTGGAGGTGATTTTTGAGGGGTGGTGATGCAAGAAATGCAATTTGCATCATTTGCATCATCTGAATGGTAAGGTGTAGTTGGCACCTTGCCAGGTATAGATACGCAGGGTAGCTATAGTGCAGTTACCAGGTATAGTACTTCAAGTTCCCTTTCCATCAACCGCTCGATAACCTTTACACACGCGAAGCAATCCGCAGCTTTGAAGTCTCATGCGCGCGATACCTGGGAACAGAATTGTAGCTACCCTGGGTCCGTATACATGCTATGTTGCTATACCTCTTACACACCTATATAAGTTCAAAGCGCGAATGAGACTTCAAAGCTGTGGTTTGCTGTGCATGTGTAAAGGTCATCGAGCGGTTGACGGAAAGGGAACTTGAAGTACTATACCTGGCAACTGAATTGTAGCTACGCTGGGTATCTTTACCTGGCAAGGCGCCAGCTGAGTAAGAAGGGGGGTTCGGGGGGGCGGCCTGAGAAAGCAGACTCGAAAGTAGGTGGTGTGTAGGGGTGCACGGAAGCAAGGTTTTGGAGGTGCGTTTGGTGATTTTGAGAAATGCAATTAATTGTCTTCGGTTGGTTGCAGTGCTATACTTGGCAACTGAATTGTAGCTACCCTGGGTATACCTGGCAACTGCCTTGTAGCTGCCAACTGCCTTGGAGCTGCCCTGGGTCCGCGCGCGCACGCCTAAATCACGGGCAGCCGGGAGCCAGCAAGGCGCACGCGCCCGCGCGCGCAGACCCAGGGTAGGGAAATTGAAGTGGGATACCTGGCAACAGAATTGTAGCTACCCTGGGCCCGTATAAATGCTATGTTGCTATACCTCTTACACACCTATATAAGTTCAATGCAAGAATGAGACTTCAAAGCTGTGGATTGCTGTGCGTGTGTCAAGGTTATCGAGCGATTGACGGAAAGGGAACTTGAAGTACTATACCTGGTAACTGAATTCTAGTTACCCTGGGTGATATTTGTTTGGACACTTACGCTTACATCAAAGAAGGATTTTTTGTAGAACATTGCATCTCGGAATTGTTGGCACTGGGAAGCATTTTCTTTAGGGTTGTGCTTAGAAAGATGGCGAAAGGCCATCAAGTTAAGGAAATACCGTTAAATCAAATCTTCTCAATCTAGTCCTTGGCAGAAGACCCAGGTGCATCCTGTTTGGTTTTGACTTTCTTTGGTGTTACAGCAGCGGCACAGGATTCAATATTCAAGATCTCTCCGACACTCTTTCTCTGGAAATCTTGAAGCCTCATGAACCTTTGTTGTCAATTTGCCAGAAGAACAAGGCTGCTTTATATTACAAACTCACCAACTCCACTTTGACAATTGATACAACCCGACAAAGAAAACAGGAATACATTCAATAGAAATACCAAGTCACCCATCATTACAAAATTGATTAAGGTATCATATCCGAGTCAAACCATCTCTTTAAGACTCTAAGATAGACTTGGTTCGCTCTTAGTAGGGAAAAGGGTTATATAACACTGTTCATGTTCAGCAACCTGAGTATATAAAGCGGACTCGGCGGACTCACAGCAAGTCGAGCTATGGTTTCCAGTTCTACTCCACGTATGTTGATTTTTTTGCAACTTTTGCTACATAGTTTACTACATAGTTTGATAATATACGTTTTATAATGCATTTGGGAGAACTAATAGTGCACAGGAGAGTTGAGGAGATTGAATGTTCCCAAGTTACGTTCTTATGTGGACCAACTAAGCCCGTTTGGGCTGGCAAAAATCCTATAGGTAGACGCCGACAACCTGATTCAAGGTTGAGATCACTTATGACTAGCCAATATGGCGATTTGGCTCTCTCGACAACTGAGCTCAGCCATCCCGATCCCTTCGCAGGCCCGATCCCTCCTTGAGAAGATGGACGCGATGGCATCCTGATCGCGACGCGAGCGGAAGATGGACAGAGAGACGCTGTGTTATTTTCAGAAGATGATCGTGCATCAGAGTTTCTGAACGTGTTTGTGTTTAATCCGAAAGAACGACAACTCCGTAGAGAGAGACGTAGAGACGAAGGTTTCATACATTGATAAAACATTATAAAACGCATGTGAGATGGACATGTTGGCGGCCCGTTCGGCTAGTCAGAGAACCTCTAGCGACTTGTCTGAGACATGTTGCTCACACGCTGGTCGACGAGCAAAAGTGCAGTGCCTTGCGGAAGACCTGTTGGAAATGCTTTTGGACTATACGGCCTTCACCTGCTTCCATGTATTGTCAGCCAAGCCTTGTTCATTTCCAAGCTCACATGTCACACTCGCCAAGCACTTGGGCAAAGCAAACTGATCGATCTGTTTTTTGAAGAGAGCGGGGGGTGAGGGGGGGGGGGATGTGAAAGTTTTTATTTTGCAAGGTTTTGAAGGGTTCTATATGTTTTTGAAAGGACCCCCCCAAATTCCCATGTCAAGCAAATCCCCATGCTGGCAGGTCCCAGAGATGTTCCTTTCCTTTTCTGCAAGGGTGGATTTGGCATACCACCAAAGTGGCCGTAGATGGCGGTGTTGAGGGGGCGCATGCAGGTACCAGTTGCCAGGTATACCCCTTGGCGCAACTCATCGTTCTTGAGACTGGCAGAGCATGAGCTTCCTTTGGGGTGAAGCAAAGTGTACAAGACCTTAGTTGGTGTATGTTGGTGTTGGAAAACCATTTGCCGCCTTTTTGACAGGATTTTTGTTCTAAAAATCTGGTAGAACTCTTCAACTCATTTTTTGACAGCAAATGGTTCTCCAACACCAACATACACCAACAATCTGGTAGAATTTTGTTCTTCAACTCTAGTTGGCAGCCAGGTCGTTGCAACCCATCTTTAGGCAGCTAGGTCGTCACGAACGAACGACCTTTAATGTTCATTGGTCACTGATGAGTCTCTCTTACCGTAGGGCTCCAACCTTATCCTCAGGTACGGTGGTTAGATCCCCCAAACCTCAGGAGGTGGTCGGAGCCCTAGGGTCAGGAACAACACATGTTTGAGTTGCTCTTCCAGGTCCTGGGAAACGATGCATGATGCATGATCGTCGACGATTGGCGAGTGTCCACTCGACCTTTTTTGCGGCAGTTGATTGAACAAGAGCATGGACAGACCACAAATTGCCTTTTACTCTTGGTTGATCAATAGAGGGGAACCCCCTCAAGTGAACAACCAATAGATATGTGGTAACAAATTGCGACCCCTTATCATTCCCAAGGTCGGACATCATTGGGACTGACCTACCTGCTGATTTCTGACAAACCATCGCCACCGGATGAAGAATTCGGTTTAGTAGCTCGTACATGTAAGGACTCATAGGAATCAATCCTTGAACAAATCCACCAGTTTGCTTCGTGTTTGTTTTATTTGAGCCTCTATACGACCAACATGAGGGAACTGGCCACAAGCAAGATGCCTCTGAGTTTTCAAGGAACATAACATACACGAAAAGGAGCACCCTGCATTCTGCAAGATCATGATGATGCTCCACTTCTACATGCTCCTGAAGAAGTCATGCGTCGCTAGGTATATAATCTGGACAACAAACCTTGCAAACCTGTTCGTTTGCGATCGCCTTTTGACCAGAACCGTGTGGATCGCCGACACTCAGGGGAGGGAAACGGGGTGCGTTACCCGGTAGCGGCAGAATCTCGCCATGGCTTTGGCCGCATGTTCATGACCGAACCACAATGTACTTTTCAGCATGCGAACCACCACCGTGATGAGTGTGCCTGCCAAAAAAACATGATGAACCAGCCATGCGGTGAAGCTTTTGCAGCTGAAGGTGACCCTTGGTTCTCACCCATAAGAGTGGCATACAAAGTCTGGAGAACACACAGCGTGCAACCGGAAGGTGTGATTCGGCAAGACACACAGGGAAGTAGTGGGGATGACTGCTGAGTAGCACATTCACGATCCCAACACGCTGTCTCTACAGTTTGGGCCTGAGAAAGATAACACCTGGGGGTACCTAATTTCCTTACTCAGCCATAGTTGAAACTGATTGAAAGAAAGCTAGATCATACGTTTTAGCTCAGAAATCACATCAAAGAAAGACGTCTGTCCACCACTCCCGACCGTGGACCGTGCTGTGGCATGGGGTGCTGGCTGCTCATGGCACCTCGAGGCCGTGCCGCGGCTGCAGGTTGCAGGCTGCGGAGCTTCCGGTTTAGTGAGACCGTCCGGACCGCGCCGTGCCAACGAGGATTGTAAAAACAAAAACGGCCTAGGTTTGTATAGTGCCAAATCCTCAGTAAATCAATGGTTCTGAATCCTGAAGTATTTTTTGACGACTCAATCAATGGTGGTTGCAAGCCTTTTTGGGGACAGTTTTTATGGACAGTTTTTGGGATAGGATCAACCTGTCGCGGTGCGTCATTTCCGGTGACCGAACGACCTCGAAAACCGAATCCCGACATCCCGCTGCGACTCGTACCAGTCCGAAGAACAACGGTATACGGTATACGGATATATATATATATATGGTATATACCTGGGTCTTCATAAGTATGCATTTTAAATGCCTTTTCAATCAAAACTGCTTTTTCAAGCAAACGCCAACTATTTTGTACTGAAGCACTTTTTGCATTGACATGTTTTCACGAAAGGTAGCTTGAGCTACCTGAGTTCTCCTTGCTTTAGCAAAAATATATTACAATCAGGAGTTGGGATTGTGCATTGAATTTGGTCCTGTAAGAGTTGATTCTGTTCGTCGGGGGGGGGGGGGCCCCCCCCTGGATCAAATCCCCCCTGCGCCGGTTCACGCCGTCGTGGACTTCTACCAGGGTTACTTGTGATTGCCTGCTACCTTTCGTTCACCCCCTCCTCTCTCAAGTCGATGGTATGTCAAGGTATTGAAACGGCGACTTTTCCCGACCAAACGGCGACTTTCCCCGACCAAACGGCGACTTTTGCAAACTGCTAGTTTGGTAACCTCTGTAAAACATCGAAACGGCACTTTTGAAATGAAACGGCGTTTCTGACGGCAAACGACTGAAATTTGTGCTGTTTCGCCAAACGGCAGAAAAAACACACCCGTGGAAGGTCCAGGTATATAATATATATATGGTATATATATATATATATTATATACCAGCACCCTCCAACAGGTCACCAATCGAGACCTTAGGGCCCTTCCCAACCCTCGAAAGCAGACCTGTTGGAGGGTGCTGGTATATATTTACAGTGGTTTAAGAGGTTCGATGGCACTGGCACAACAAGATGTCTTTAAAGATGAGGGCTCCATACCCACCACTGTATAAAACCACCAAACTTGGAGAGGTCACTGTGCACATTGCACCTCTGGATCGAAGGGTGAGAAGGTCGACTCTTTCATGATCCCGTTTGGGATCCCGTTTGCACCACCGAAACCTCGGTTCGGTGGTTGGGTTGGGTGGGGTGATCCTGGCCCACCGTACCTGAAAAGATGGGATATACGCCCTACGGGATATCAGATACGGCTCTTGGGACAGGAGCCTCAAGAAGTTTGAACAAATCCAAATGATGAGCTGATCAATCTCAAGAGTCTTTTGATGTCTTTTGGTTACAGTGGTCCTCCCTTCGAAAGGACAGCTGCTGTTTTCTCTTTCACCAGAAAAATTCAATCACCTAGATCAGAGAAGGATTAGATCAGAGCAGGGTCGCATGAAATTTTATGTTTTTTACTTTTTAGCATTTTTCACCTGTTTTTATCAATTTTCCACATTTATGATAATATTTTCACATTTTAAAGCATTTTTCCACATTTTTCACATTTATTTTTCATTTCATTTTTTGTTTTTAAAAAAGTTACTATTTTGGGGGAAAACACCTCAAACACAACATGGTTAATCAAATTGTGTTTCTTGGGGAGAAGTTATCCTAACAGCTGAACACAACTGACTGCAGCAATCATATCACGCTCCAGTTTGCATGTGAAATTATGTTTTTGCATCTTTTTGCATATTTTTGCATATTTTCTCATGTTTCGAGATTTTTCGAGATATTTCGAGATTTTTCGAGATTTTTTGAGATTTTTTGAGTTGTTAAAATGATTTTTCCTTTTATCCCCTCGAGATTTTATGAGATGTTTCGAGATTTTTTGAGATTTTTCGAGATTTTTCAAGATTTTTTGAGTTGATTGTTGCTAAGATTTTCATTTAAAACATTTTTTGCATTTTTTGCATTTTAAATCTCTTATCAAGATTTTAAATCTCTTTGGAAAGTCTTCCATTCCAAAACCTCTCCGGCGCAGGGTATTGAATTTTTTTGGTGACTCTTTGACCGGCCCAAATGACCGCTTCCTGGAAGAGCAGCTGGTCGATGTTGCAAATCTGATGAATTCGACATCGTTGGACCAATCTTTCGGGATGCTGCACCCAGAGGGACCATATCCTCAAACAATCCACAGCTGGTATCCATGCCCGTCAGGAAACTCCCTGCACCATCCTGCACCCGCTGTGAGTCGCTATGATCCATCTCAGGAGCTCGCGGGACCATGTTGGGCTGTGTGGCCCTGGTGGTGGCCCTGCGCAGGACGGGACCTCGGGCCGGCGCCGCGGTGCTCACCGGACCAAGCACCGCGGGTTTTTCCAAATGGACGAGCTTCTTGTTCCTAGTAGCTTCTTGCTCCTAGTAGTACGGCCAGGAGCCCCTCGTAGTGTCCTTGCTTCTAGTAGCGATGCCAATGATGCTGAGTGACGCGACGGCCGACCTTCACGGCAATCAGCCTTGGCCGGATTGGGCAATAGGCCTCGGCCCCAGACAGGTTGAGTGTGGGGTATGTACCCTAGGGCTCCAACCACCTCCTGAGGTTCGGTGGGGTTGGGTTTGTGGGATATGGGACAGGAGCCCTGGGGGGTACATCCTTTCATTCCTTTTCGAAGGGTCTTCTTTTGGAGGCGAACAAGTCACCGAATGTCACCGAAACGGGTCAAGGGGTCCCTGAAGGTATCCAGCGGGGGGAAGTATCTTCACCGGGTATGGATTGGACCATTGACATACTCGAAGAGGGTCAAGAACATATTAAAACACGTCTTGCTTTACCCACATCAATGAAGTCATAGTCGTGGTAGAGAAAGATCGTTGATCTTGCGACGATCGAACAAAAGCAAAATCAAACAATGGGTTTAGACACTCCATGGGACTGCCATATATGCCGCCCCATAAATTGACCCCCCTGGCACCACCCCAATTGATTGGCAGTCCTATGGCAGTCCCAGACAGGTCGTGTCTGGGATGGGTTTAGTGGTTTCTCCCCGTGTCTCGTAGATCTTCATCTCGACTCACTTTGCCAGAGCTACTGTACCTTGCGTACCTTGGGCAAGGTTACGGAGAATTGGTTCGATCCACGCCTAGTGAATTGCACACACGCTCAGAATGCATGAGATCTTCTTTTGGCAAATCTTATCAAGTGGTGGATGTTCCACAATGATTGCTATCCCAAACGATCCATAGTGGCGCACATGTATCGCCTACATGACTGGTGGTTTTTGCTGGCTTTCATGTGGGTCATTTTTAGTTGCACGGATCATTTGGGTCATTTGGGTATGACGGTATGACATGCTATGACTATGGAATCGGATCGGAAGTCACTTGGAGTGAACGGATGTTTTCAAGGACTTCCGGCTTGGCGGAAACTGGTGCCTTCGCAGCCTCTCCGATGGCAGGGAGATGTACAAGCAATAAAAAAGAACAAATTCCTGGTTCTTCAAAGTGACCTTTTGATATCCCTGTTTGAGGTCACTTTGAAGAAGCTGGTTAATGTGTTTGTTTGACTGGGTGGAATGAACAAGTTTAGCTAGGATCATGTTGGGTGTTGGGATATCCATTCCCGGTACTGGCTGAAGGATCGTTCCTGAGGATACTTGAAGCTGGAAACTCAGAAGGGAACCCACTCGGTCAAAGAGATTGTTTTCTGAAAGAGCAGAGTGAGGGAACCCCAAAAGGTGTTTCGATCAGTCTACAAACTCTACGCAACGAGCAACGAGCAATGTGCACTTGCACCCAGAAATCCAAGCTAAACCATTTATATACACTTTGAACTTTGAAGTTTGTTTTGTTTGCCTTTGACTGTCGGAGATAAGGGCCAGTTCCATGCTCTCAAAACAAGTAGCCATCCACCATCAGAATTTCCGTGTTACTGCCGATCAGATCGAAGTCTTCTTGGGAGAGGACTTCAGCAGCCTATCACTTAGGGTGAAGTGGAAAAGAACGCTTCTTGCTATGGGGTTCTCTAACTCAAAGTACTGTCTCAGTAACCCCCGATGATCCGTGCATCCTGCGCCCAATCTGCTTTGCTTCGCACTGGTCTGCGTGATGCTCAGCACTCAGCACTGAGGAGAGTTTTTCCCGTTCCCTTGCTGCTTGGCCGGTCGACCGAAGAAGGGACGATGAAGGCCGCGGCTGGACGACCGGCCTCGGTGCATCATCCGCTTACATGTCTTGACCCACCCAGCAGAGGTTCTGAAGGCGAAGTGGAGCATAGGCCACTGGAAAAGCATTGGCCTTGAAAACCGGTGGTTTACCACAGATCCATGATGAATGCTGGAGAATTCACATCCAGTTCTGGAGAATTCACACCGACATCCACACGGGCGAAGCGAAAAATTTTCGTTGAGCTTAGACATACTATATCATCCATTCAGGAATGGACCAGAAGACACGGCGCTTATATAGATGGGATTTTCGCGCTTAGTGTGTGGTCATCAGGCAGAGAGTGGTTTGAGAATGGCTGTTTCAGAGTAGACCAGATGGCACTCCCAAACGCGACCTGTCTGGGACTGCCAGGACGGACTGCCGCCCCAGACAGACCTCGAAAATGGCCCACCCCAATGTAGGCATATGTACCAGTCCCATGGAGCGTCTGGCACTGGCATCCCAAGATGTTTTTTAGATTGAGGTCCACATGAACCACCAATTTGGCCGTGCCCGTGTGCCATTGACTCTGAAACCTTTTTGTACTCTTGTGCTCGTAAGACATCTTTGAATGCACAAGAAATGCTTTCTTCCCCCTCACTGTCGCAGTGTACAGACATCGACATCCGGTCCCCACTGTCTCATGGTGGTCGTCGTGGCTGGAGAAAGATGACTTCCCGATTGACGATAAAAACCCTCTAGGGCTCAGCTCAACTACCACCGTTCAGGGGTGGATTTGGGGTCTAACCACCAAACCTGAGGAAATGGGACAGGAGCCCTAGGGCCAAGTTGACAGCGCTGTGGAATCCATAGCTTTCGGCGCCAGAAGAGATTCTGAATGCTTTCTTCGTGAAAGACGGCAGGGGCGGGGCTCTGGGGGTGCTCCGTGACCATTCGCCTGGGCATGGGCACTTTGATCAGGTGACCGGCCGGGTGGTCTTAAGATTAAGTGACTTAAATCAGTGTGAAACCACTGAACGAGTTCTGCGATTCCCTCGGCATTCGGCCTTTTACAAGGCTGAATGATGCCATGAGGACGACGCAAGTGGTTTGTCGCCTGACCTTCCACTGGAAAGCCATGCAACAGAGGCACCTGACTTTCCAGGTCACACCTCACCGGGTTTCCCGGGCTCCCCTCGCCATGCTGAGGAAGGAACACGGCTGCGAGTTCTTAGCTGGAATGTGGCTGCCGTGAACAACAACCCCTTTGAGCTTCTCAGCTATATACCAGGATCATCCTGTCTGGGTGTCCAATGGAGGTCCATAAACAGTGTAGAATAGGCTATTGGACACCCATTGCATGCCCCCGGTATCTTTTTCTTCTCCAGATGGGTGCAGACATCCACAACAAGATCATGTTCAATGACAATTCGAAGCTCAGGTTCCTTCGCTTACAGCTTGCTTTTTGGAGTATACGGTCTGGAACAACACCTTTCCAGCCCCATACCAATCCAATCCCAAGGCAAGTTGCCGTCCACAGGAGTCACTAAGAAAGATCCACACCCGAAAACAGGTGCAGCTGTGCTTCAAGAAGCCATTTCCTTTGGATGAACCCAGTTCGTGTGACCTCAACGCCTTTGTGACCTCATGTGTTCCCACATATGTCGACATTGCAGCCTGGTCCAGTTTGCTTTTGGAGCCGGTGGCCCATCGTTCTGTCAGAGTGGTGTTTTCCCGTACTGTTTCGCTCGAACGACGTCATGCAAAGTCACAACGCATAAAGCAAAAGAACGTTGGGCGCCAACTTCCTGAATTCGTTCATCGTTGGCTGCTTTGCTTTCAGTTTCCTGCTTTCGTCACCTTCACGGCAGGTATTGGATCACTCACCCGAAGAAGGAATACAAGGCCCTCATGGAGGCTGTGGAGCAGTTCATCTCCGAACCTGGGGAGGACTGATCGGTTCCGTTCGCCGAACCTCGACCTGTTCACGGGCCACGCACCCAAGAACTCCCGCACGGGGGTGGTCTAATATCTTCTTGTTACTACTAGTAAGGCTCTTGCTCCTAGTAGCGATGCCAGGAGCCCCAATCGTCGATCGTAGCGTCTTGTTACACGCTGGGTTTTTTGGATGTTTTTGTTGTGTGTGTTTTGGAGTGAACCATTGTGAACCTGTGAACTGGTTCCTTTTTGCGCATTCTTTTGGTTTAACAAGGAACTCTGGCTTCCTGTTTGTTTTTGGAGCTCCATGCGACGTCCATGCGATGAAACAGCCGGAGGTGGACTCCGGCATTTCTCGGCCCGATGAACAGCTCCAAGCTCCGTCCGGACTGACCGCTGATGGGATGGATGACTCAGCACCGTTCCTCAGCCTGCGACTGCGGGAGGAGGATCTTCTGGTACATGAGGTCTTTACCGTGCCCTGGGCGTAGAGTCGGTGGGAGCGTCGTGAGGTCGGTGGGAGCGTTGGCGAAGAATCCTTCCTCTCGTTTTTGGAGCAGCGAGCTGCTCCCCACATGCCCAAACTGCTATATAACCGACAACTTAAAAACCTTTAAGGCAAGTTCAAATCATCATTTGTGGCCCCCCAAAAGTGAAAGGATTGTCCTTTCTTCGGATCCATTTTTCCATCGAAGAGGCCGGTGTTTCTGCTAACCTCGCAGCTAAGATCGGGTCCGTTTCGAGTCGAAGCAGCAGCTGGATCCGGCGGATGGTAGTTCCGGCGATGTCTTCTCTCTCGTTTCTGGAGTCCGAATCTACCGTGTCGTTGATTCCATGTGATTCATGTAGATTGACTAAGGGGTGGTTGACGACATGGGGTCGCAGGCGTAAAGACAGAGCTCCGGACCCGGTCGGGCAGGAGGTTCGCAGAATGGACCTCTCTTGGTAGAGGGGCCCCTGCTTCGGGGTGGTCAATGGACACCCCTGACCCCCTATAGGGGACCCTGGTACCCATACACTCCATGCGACTGGAATAGATGTCGATCCAGCCAGACCTTTCTGGCACCCCGAACGGCCGTGCCACGTCCGGCAGTCCGGCAGTCACAGACTGGTCGCGTCTGGACCACCCCAAAACCAACCGTCCGACTACCAGGCAACGTCTGAAAGGTTCTGAGGTGATCCATGTTCAGTTGAACGTGAACGTCGTACACATGAGTGAATGATAGTAGCATATAGTCATATAGCTATAGGGAGACCTCCCAGGCGTTGCGACCTTAAATCAACCATCGTCGACTCGCAGGCCTCAGCGTCGAAATTCGGGAAGCTCTCTAAAGTTGAAAATACGGAAGATGGTGTATTTGGGAAGATCGTCCAATAGCTTAGGCTTAGTCCTGCATCTTTGGGTTCATCCAGAAATCTGACTCTTGAACCACCCCAGCCCTCTTCAGAGGTTTAGGAGTTATTGATCAGTCTACAGTATGGAGGTGTGTCCTCCACTGTGGTCACCCAAAATTGAACAGACTTTGATTGAATTGGAATGCCTCCTTTCATTTCAAGGGAGAAAACCCCTTCATATTATAGGACTTAGGACTGATGCGTGTTCAAACATGGCTGACATCAATTGAACCTTCAACCCGTGGTCCTTTAAGCCTTCCACACGCCTGCGGGCACCTCAGGACCACATGTTCCAGACCCTTTCTGCACGGATGCGATCCTCTGGATTGGAAGCAGCGACTGGCCATTCAGAAATCGGAAGCACACACAATGTGTTCTTGTTCATCATTGTTCACTCTGAGTATCTCTGAGATCTCTGAGTCATAAAACATGGAGGCCTCTAGTCAAAAGGGTAATGTTCCACTTCCATAGATTATTTCAGGGAATGTTCGGAACTTGTTTGCATTGCTTGTTGGATGTCCAGTGTTCAATGTTGTCGCTTGGGTGACGAAATGCCACAGTTTTTAAGAGCGTTATTCAGGGTTGCTCAAAAACACCTTGAACAACAACACGACAGTCACTTGTTTTTCGAGACAGTCACTGTGTTCTTCGCCGAGGTTGATGTGGCTGAGACATTTTGGAGCCAATACCGTAGCTGGGCAGCTGGTCGGTGCTGGTCCTCATGATTGTTCTTTGTCACCTGAAAGGGATCCACCGAAACGAAAAGAAGGTACGACTGGACCCGACGTTTTGGCACCTACTGAGATGATGTAGTTCCTATGGGAAGTCCGGATTATGAGCTGGACCCTCCTGGCACCTAATCCTGGCACCTACTGACCCTAGCGATCCTGGCGATCCTACATAATTCCTTCTGACAAGGTACGACTGGATCCCTTGAGTTTGGCCTGAAAGATGGGGTGGAAGGGCAGGATACGCTCGAAAAGAGAGAGAGAGAGAGCGTTTTTCAATGCATCAGTCCTGAAGTCCGGTATCGGTTGTTTCTGCGCCTGTTGACTCTTCCGAGGTCCATGGTCCACTGGTGAGGAATCTGGTTCCAGTTCAATGCATATGTGCAATTATGTGCAGGAGTTTGCAGGACCCAGAGGTCCAACGTGGTTTTGCTTAGGATGATTTGACTTGTTATTTGACCACAAAAAGAGGGTAACACTTCTTTTTGCTGGACTTGTTGATCTTAGGGAGGGAAACAAGTGAAGACAGCTCCTAGCAGAAGCTTGTGAATGGATTTCATATGACTTCATATGGTTTCAGCGAGTCAGTCCGCGAATCACCTTCCACTTTCCCATTGGTCAGATTAGATGTTGTTTCGACTTCAGACCTTACTTGCGTATTTTGTAAACTTTACAGACCCATGGATGTCTTTGTTCCTCCCACTAAACCAGAATTGGTGAGAAATGTTTTTTTCTTTTACAGGGAAACACCTCAACGGTCAGACTTAAAATCCCCATAATATGTATCATACATGTTTCTTGAATCATATCACCTTCAGGGAATTTGAGGCAGCATCACTGAATCACGCTCCAAAGGGATTCCGCTATAGCTCTGAAGCATCACCTTCCTATTTCATCCGCTCCCGTTTCTCCACGAGGCACCCGGCGGATCGTGAGCGAGTTCCTACGGGACCCGGTCATCGGCAAGAAGCGTGGCTCGGCTTCGTCCGGTGGGTCCGCGGTGCGGTGCGGTCCGCGGCAAGGTGTTGGTTGGGCTTTGGGCTTCAACTGGGCGGAGGGTTGGAATTTCAATCGAGATCTGAGATCAGGGGTGTTTTGGGGTTGAAATACAAGGAATGCCTTTTCTGGAGAAAACCTGTCAAATCACGTTGAGATTGGAGACACTTTGAAGAAGCACTCAAGTAGGTGGTCATCAGGTGACTTCCCAACACCTTCGACCTAGGAGCTATAGCTGGATCTCTATGCAAAATGGTAGTTCAAAGGATTTGTCCTCTTCTCGTTTGGGGTCCGAATCGCAATGCCCGTGTCGTTGATTCATTTAGAAAGAGAAGCACGTACGGAAAGCTCACGCAATGGCGAAGGAGTGGTGGTCGCCAGGTTACGTTTTGGAGGGAGATCTTCCATTTGTCTGGTGCTCTTTGGGTATCTTTGGGTTCTCGAATATTCATGAACTACTGATTTGAACAACCATCCACGTGACAACAATCCACGTGTTTGATGTCGTCTTGGGTCCGCGAAGAGCTACCCAAGATGCACTGATGGACCCCAAGAAGATGTTTGATGAACATGCCTTGGGGTTGTCCTATTACCTGTGACATTCAGTAAACAAGCGACTCACTATTGTTGAATAAGGCCTGCAACTGAACCATCATCATTGAATCCACTGGGGCCTGATAATAGAATATATACCCAAAACATGTTCCCCTTCGATTATCGTGGATTGAGAGGCTCGATGGCACGTTTGATTGGGCCCCCTAGTGGATCGGTGGTCAACCAAGGTCCGCCATGACCTACGGCCAAATCAGACGGACAATTAGATAGAAGTTCGTAGATCCCCACGAAAAATGTTCTGGAAACACAATATAGATGGTGGACCACTATAGACTGACCCGAACGCACGGCACTCCAAACACCTTGAGCAGATGTAATTACCCGATGTATGCGGAACGGAGATCCAGACGAGACTTTCCGATGGTTATTCCTGGAACTGAGCAGGAACAAGTTGAATACATATTTATGAAAGCTATCGTTTCCTACATCTCTCACTGGTTCTTTCTTCCTGTCTTGGATCCCCAACATCGAAAGCAAACACATGGAGTCAGCACTCACATCGATTAGCACAGAAATGCTGCGATGGACTGAGGTCTTGCCAGTATGCCAGATCGAGTCACCAACACCATCCAGCTCCTCAATGGCTGTACCTACAGGCGCCGGCCGGCCGTGTGTCGCGTCGCCACCGAATTTGTCACGGCCAGTGGTGCCACTGCAGTGATGATACGTGTCGCGGGCCAGGCGAGGCAAACTGCGAAGTAAGCAGATGTTGAATGACTTGAAGTCCAGTTTTTTCTGGGGTTCATGTACGGTGGTCCAAGCTCAGCAAAAAGCTTTAATCTACTTCTGTTTGCACATGTTTGCACCAGCCTGGAGTCTCTAAGTGACCTCTTTGGAGTCTCTAAGTGACCTCAGTAGTGACCTCATTCGATCTCAAGTTCGGTCACGTACTGAAGGTGGAGTGTGTTTCGCAAACTTGTTCACAACATGAGCTCGGACCTTAGAACCAACCCGACCGAAACGGCCCGGCCCCACCGGTGGGATCCGGGCCAAGACCGTGTCGGATCACCCTGCGATGACCGGTTCGTCGCGCGTCCGGGCTCCTGTTCCGAGCCTCCAAGGAGGTACCGGTGGGATCTGATCCCCCCAACCACCCCACCCAACCACCAAAGCGAGGTTTCAGGGGTGGGCCAGGAGCCCTATAGGTGGTCATTGGATCGAACCAATCGAGCGTGGATACCGCTGGCCTCTGGCCTGCCAGACACTCCCGAGCCCAATGTATACGGCAAATATGCTTGTCCCACACCATCCGAGTGGCGAAAGAAATGACCTGCCATGAAAACCCTCCCCCATCTCTATCAGTCACTGACTGATAGAGGGCGATAGAAGGCCTGACCGACCCTTACTGCACCCTCGTGTGGGATCGGTATCACCTGCACCTCTGAGGCCGTCGGTGGTGAACTGCTACCAGGGCCAGCTGAGCTCCTTGGAGGTCCACCGCACGGGTCAGACGCAGCGACGCGGGTCGCCCACGTCGGATCGTTGGGGCTCCTTGGAGTCCGCCAAACAGTGGGGCGGCGCATGGGATTGGCCACTGAGCCGATGTCCTTGGACTGCAGGGCCCCCCATGAGTGCATGAGTGCCAATTCATCCAACAGAGGTTGAAGGACTCTATCCTATAACCCTAGGTGACGGATCCTAGAAGGTCACTTAACCTCTCTTGGATCACACTCACATGCTCTGAACATGCTCTGAACATGCAGGTTGATGTCTTTTTCTCGACATACCCACTGGATTTTGCCTGCCCACTACGTCGTGGTGATCACCATGGATCTATGGTATGCGGACGGAAAAAACAAACATCCATTTGCAATACCCAGATGCTCTACGGGACTGGAATATTATATATATATACCTACATTGACAACTGAAACCACCCCTGGATGTATGTAAATATGTCACTCCCATGGAGTGTCTGGGATAGGTTGCAATCGCCTGGAAGAATGTGGCCCTACACTACACCACACCAGCAAGCTAAGATGAAAAGTGCTGTTGCTCCAAAGATCATCAGCGGCTTTGTTGCCGACTGAGCGGCTTCGTTGTCGACCGAGCACAGCGAAAAAAAAGACCGTCCACCAAATTGTGTGAGCGCCTTCGCGAAGTGCTTTTCCATGCTTTTCCTAAATTTTGCTTTTGCTCAATTAGGTGACGATTTCTGTATAATTGTGTTCCAGCCAGAACCCTGGGTGAATCCCCCAACCCCCACGGGGGAAGAACACATATCGTCACAACTGTGTCCAAACAGGCAAATCCCAGTTTGGATGTGTGTCTTCTCATGTCTTCTCTATCGTATCGACTTGAACCCTGGCTCAAGTCTCCCAACGGGGGTTGAATGTTGCAAACAAATCAGACCGTGGAGTCAGACTGGAGTCAGACTGTCAAGACCTGGCGAGTTTTCATCAATTCGACAGACCATCTTAATTTAAGATCAGAATCTGTATATCTCTATAGGGCTCCAACCACCTCCTGAGAAGGTGGTTAGGGTGAGTTTGGGGGGTCTAACCACCTTCCCAGGAGGTGGTTGGAGCCCAGGGTATATAGACATAGATATGCACCGCGCCTCCCCTATCCTATAGAAGAAGCGGAATGTGGATCTTACGAACTCGGAACTCGCACGTCGTTCCTCAAACTCTGCAGGCGAACTGCTGTAATCTGCAATTGATCAAATTGCTTTTGTTTGGAAGCCCTGTGAGGCTTGGTTCAGCCAATGGTTGAGTTTCTTCTTTGAAGAAGATGTTGACATTGATGGTTCTGGTTCCAAGCGACTTGGTAGATGAAAGACGGATGGTGAGAGGCACGGGGGTCTTCCTTGCGCTGGGTCAGTTTTCCAGATCGGTTTTCAAGTAACCTTCGTTGAGACTTTCGGGCATTTCTTTCCTGGGGGGTGGTCGTGACTGGACTGTACTTGGTTTGAAAAACCCAGCGCTACCGGAGCAGAATCTGATCTCAGGGATGCGAGAGGCCGGCCCCTGACCAACCCAGACGCTCCGTGAAAACAACCCGACCAGTCCCTCCAAAACGCAAGGGATTGGAGACGCCAGATCCCTCCAGAGGATTCGGGTCCAGGGTCGCGTGTCTGGGAAGAACTTGTTCGGTAGGAGTTCGGAATGAGACAAGGGGTCCCAGTGAGTGACTAGCGATGCACTTGTTACAATTCTAATTACATTCTTATTGTTACTACTAGTAAGGCACTTGTTACTACTAGTAAGGCACTTGTTACTACTAGCGAACCTTGTTACTACTAGTAATTAAGGCACCTGTTACTACTAGCGATGCATTTGTTACTACTAGATGTGACGTTCGGGCACCCCTATCTTCGTTCGCTACCGACTCACTGGAAGGGCCCCGTGGTTCACCCGACTCCATCGTTTTCGCGGCAGTCGCGCACGTCGTGTGTCACGCGACGCGACGCGCACGTACGCGAACGTACCGTGTGGCCCGCGCGGGGCGCTGATGTCAAGGAAGGTGTACAGCCTGTTGCAGAAGATCCGCAGGGCCAAGTATCCTGCTATCAGCCTTGGGCTAAGTATCGGGGGGAGGTCGGAGAGGGGTGGGAGATGGGTGGTGCCAGGTCAAGTTGGTTGGGCCACTCAAACGTGCACTCAATTGACTGGGACCCAGAGAAAGCATCTTCCAGGTCTCCAAAGGCTTGGGTCATAACAGGTGTCAAGACTGGTGACCTGTGGGCGGAGACTGGTAGACCTGCACAAACTTTTTGGGGAAGTGATTTTCTTCCAAAAACACAATTCACATGAACCTTCTCAGAAGGTGATGTGTTCGACACTGAGACATGTAGGTGCCAAAACGTCGGCTCCAGTCCTACCGAACCTGAGGTTCGGTGTGACTCGATCCCTATATATGGGAAAAGAATTGGCGAGAACTGGTGTTCCAGGGATCAGTGATAAGTCGCCGCCTTTTCCATGGCCTCTACCGTTCATCCATAGGTTCGCTCTGACTTCTGGCTGCTTGAGAATAAAGTACCCAGACGCTCCATGTATGCCATATATGCCTACATTGACCCCCAAAAACACCCCTGGCCTGATCGGCAGTCCGGACTGGCAGTCCCAGACAGGTCGCGTTTGGGGTATATTCCAGGCATCAATCCAAGCGGCTCAGCAGCCAGAGTGACGACTGTGCTCCCGGTGGTGACGACTGTACTCCGAACGTACAGCTCCGAACGTCAGTACTGCTCTGATCGTCTTCCCCGATCGTGAGTACTCGATCACCATCCATTCATGTGGTGGAATGGTTGAACATTCCACAGATGGGGTCAATGTAAGGAGCTATTCCGTACATGGATGGATTGGGACTCGTTTTCTATTTTGTCTTTGAAGGAAGAATGAGCTCCGCCTATTGCGCGAAATATCGCTCCGCACTTGCGCAGGACCCTCAATCCAAACATTGCACCAAGTTTAAGGTCCGGCATAACACCCTGCAAAAAATGCAACCCAAGTGTGTTGCCAATCAAAAAACAGACATGTCATCGCGGAGCATTGCCAACTGATAGGAGCAGGTGCACTTGCACTGCGGCTGATAGTGGGATAGTCTCCCTTCGTTTGTTAGAGATCCAGATATTTCCAGACGTGCAACTTGTGGAGAGATCGTTTTTGGATCGTTTTCTGTGACTGGGTGGCTTGGTAAATCTTGGTAACCAGACTTCAGAGATGTCGAGAATCTTCAGAAAAAGCACATCCTTCTTCAAGGTCAGAAAATAAACAAAGAACAAAAACACGACGTTCAAACATCTGTTATTTTCTTAATGTTTTTTTGCGGGTGATGGGCCTGGGTGCATATTGATTGTTTGAGTCACCCGGTTGGGTGACTCCCCTTGCGACGGCCTCGGTGACTCGCCATGAGCGACCTGGTCGCGAAAACGCGTACCACGACGCGCCGGTGAGGTGAAGAGGAGGAAGCAGCGAGCATCCCCTTGCAGCTGATGATGCAGGGAATCTTTGATGCCATCCTCATGCGTTGCTTGGGCAGCTGATGGAAGCAAAGGGAAACGTTTAAACACGTTTAAACAAACACGTGGTGTTGGGGTGAGATGAGTTGGGGCTTCTTTTAAAAGACAGACAAGTGTTTGAAGTGCTGTAGAGACGACACATGGACACCCGGCAAACAGGGCACCCCCTATAACCTCTAGACACACCAGGGCCTGGGGGCTTTGGTACCCATGCCCTGGTTGGTGGCTTGGGATCCAGAATGCGAAAGGCAGGTGTTCCTCGGTGAACATGGGTAGTCAGAAGTACTCGCTGCCAAGGCATTTGGCAACTTCGGAGGTGTTTCGAGCTGACCTGTGGAACTGTTTGTCTTGGGAAGGGTGGAACTGTGGAACCCGCATGCGTCGGCCACATGGGTGGGCCACAACCCAAAATCATCCAAAATCCATCAGAACCGGTCCCCTGCATGCTCGTCCATAACTAGTTCCCCTTGCTTGTTCATTCCCCCCCTTTTCATGTGTAATTTTTAGTTTCAGCCTCAATGCTTAGGCTTATCCAGCCTGTCAAGTATAACTCATAGTAACTCCAATCACCAAGCATTCCAAGAAACCAAAGAACGCATCCTTCAGGCTACCAGGGTACCCTGTCACCTCCTTCGTCTTCCTCATGGTGTGATCGTATGTCCAGTGTGTTTGGACGCCCACGGCAGCACCTCTCCTGCATTTGCATCACGAATACCAGCCAGTCAGTCCTCTAGACTTCCGACGGCAACCAGTGGCCCATTCACCTGTGCGTCTCAGGCTTGATGCTGGAGAAGGCAGGTGCTGCTTGGGAGGAACTCCGTCGGGAGATCTGCGAATCCCTCAACAGCCCCTTCGACCGAACTCAAAGTCGAGAACGCGTCGTGCGCTTCGCGAAATGAAAGAGCGCGAACTCCTATACGTTTGGATGGGTCGACCATATATGAAGTAGGATCCACGGAATGAGTCAAAAAGTGAGGCCTGCCCGGCCTGCGACCCTTGGTATTAAGCTAGTGCACGGTTACAGGACCCAAGCTGGATGGAGAGGGATACGATACAACCTTGGAACCTTTGGACAGATGCGGACAGATGGTTGTATGGGTTATGTAGGGTTTGTGTTTCAAACAAAGGTTCATTGGATGCCCAAGTTTGCATCAGCCATCAGTGACATGGAGCAGCTGTTGGTAGATGAAGCTGTTGGCAGCGAGGGCTTGTGTCGTCAAGAGGTTTTTCTGCGACACTCCGACGCCTGGAAAGCTGTGACTTGTTTTTGCCAGCGCCAGTGCACTCAGAGTTTTCAACTTTGCAGAACCTGTACTCGCAGTCTTCAGTTGTGACATCAAGACCAAATGAGCATCAAACTCAGTGGCCAAAACCTGTTGGAACATACCTTCCGGATTCTTTTTTGGGGGCGCCAGCAGCCGTCCGATCAAGGAATCCCATCAATCCCAGGATTTGTTCCACTTTCGGCATCGAGTCGGACAGAGCCAGACGTCGACTGGAGCCGAGGGTCGAGTGGAGCCTATCATGTACAGATCAGGATACGATAGAACATCCCTCAACCAAACCCATCGAAGTGGAAGGACTTTTAGCACGGAGTCGTCGTTGGAGTCTTTCCAAAACGAAGCTGGTCCTCCGTGTTGGACGATTCTGACATCAGGGAGTGTAGGACTAACCAGAAGCTACGATCGGGGCTCCTGGCATCGCTACTAGGAGCAAAGACGCTACTAGGGGCTCCTGGCCATACTACTAGGAACAAGA